AAACACGTCAGAGCACTACAGGGACAAGGTGTCAGAGCACTACAGGGACAAGGTGGCAGAGCACTACAGGAACAAGGTGTGTCAGAGCACTACAGGGACAAGGTGTCAGAGCACTACAGGGACAAGGTGTCAGAGCACTACAGGGACAAGGTGTCAGAGCACTACAGGGACAAGGTGTCAGAGCACTACAGGGACAAGGTGTCAGAGCACTACAGGGACAAGGTGTGTCAGAGCACTACAGGGACAAGGTGTCAGAGCACTACAGGAACAAGGTGTCAGAGCACTACAGGGACAAGGTGTGTCAGAGCACTACAGGGACAAGGTGTGTCAGAGCACTACAGGGACAAGGTGTGTCAGAGCACTACAGGGACAAGGTGTGTCAGAGCACTACAGGGACAAGGTGTGTCAGAGCACTACAGGGACAAGGTGTGTCAGAGCACTACAGGGACAAGGTGTGTCAGAGCACTACAGGGAAAACATGTGTCAGAGCACTACAGTGACAAGGTGTCAGAGCACTACAGGGACAAGGTGTCAGAGCACTACAGGGACAAGGTGGCAGAGCACTACAGGGACAAGGTGGCAGAGCACTACAGGAACAAGGTGTGTCAGAGCACTACAGGGACAAGGTGTCAGAGCACTACAGGGACAAGGTGGCAGAGCACTACAGGGACAAGGTGTCAGAGCACTACAGGGACAAGGTGTCAGAGCACTACAGGGACAAGGTGTGTCAGAGCACTACAGGGACAAGGTGTCAGAGCACTACAGGGACAAGGTGGCAGAGCACTACAGGGAAAACATGTGTCAGAGCACTACAGGGACAAGGTGTCAGAGCACTACAGGGACAAGGTGTCAGAGCACTACAGGGACAAGGTGTGTCAGAGCACTACAGGGACAAGGTGTCAGAGCACTACAGGGACAAGGTGTGTCAGAGCACTACAGGGACAAGGTGTCAGAGCACTACAGGAACAAGGTGTCAGAGCACTACAGGGACAAGGTGTGTCAGAGCACTACAGGGACAAGGTGTGTCAGAGCACTACAGGGACAAGGTGTGTCAGAGCACTACAGGGACAAGGTGTGTCAGAGCACTACAGGGACAAGGTGTCAGAGCACTACAGGGACAAGGTGTGTCAGAGCACTACAGGGACAAGGTGTCAGAGCACTACAGGGACAAGGTGTGTCAGAGCACTACAGGGACAAGGTGTGTCAGAGCACTACAGGGACAAGGTGTCAGAGCACTACAGGGACAAGGTGTCAGAGCACTACAGGGACAAGGTGTGTCAGAGCACTACAGGGACAAGGTGTCAGAGCACTACAGGGACAAGGTGTGTCAGAGCACTACAGGGACAAGGTGTCAGAGCACTACAGGGACAAGGTGTCAGAGCACTACAGGGACAAGGTGTCAGAGCACTACAGGGACAAGGTGTCAGAGCACTACAGGGACAAGGTGTGTCAGAGCACTACAGGGACAAGGTGTCAGAGCACTACAGGGACAAGGTGTCAGAGCACTACAGGGACAAGGTGGCAGAGCACTACAGGAACAAGGTGTGTCAGAGCACTACAGGGACAAGGTGTCAGAGCACTACAGGGACAAGGTGTCAGAGCACTACAGGGAAAAGGTGGCAGAGCACTACAGGAACAAGGTGTGTCAGAGCACTACAGGGACAAGGTGTCAGAGCACTACAGGGACAAGGTGGCAGAGCACTACAGGGACAAGGTGTCAGAGCACTACAGGGACAAGGTGTCAGAGCACTACAGGGACAAGGTGTGTCAGAGCACTACAGGGACATGGTGTCAGAGCACTACAGGGACAAGGTGGCAGAGCACTACAGGGACAAGGTGTGTCAGAGCACTACAGGGACAAGGTGTCAGAGCACTACAGGGACAAGGTGTCAGAGCACTACAGGGACAAGGTGTCAGAGCACTACAGGGACAAGGTGTCAGAGCACTACAGGGACAAGGTGTGTCAGAGCACTACAGGGACAAGGTGTGTCAGAGCACTACAGGGACAAGGTGTCAGAGCACTACAGGAACAAGGTGGCAGAGCACTACAGGGACAAGGTGTCAGAGCACTACAGGGACAAGGTGTGTCAGAGCACTACAGGGACAAGGTGTAAGAGCACTACAGGGACAAGGTGTGTCAGAGCACTACAGGGACAAGGTGTGTCAGAGCACTACAGTGACAAGGTGTCAGAGCACTACAGGGACAAGGTTTCAGAGCACTACAGGGACAAGGTGTCAGAGCACTACAGGGACAAGGTGTGTCAGAGCACTACAGGGACAAGGTGTCAGAGCACTACAGGGACAAGGTGTGTCAGAGCACTACAGGGACAAGGTGTCAGAGCACTACAGGGACAAGGTGTCAGAGCACTACAGGAACAAGGTGTCAGAGCACTACAGGGACAAGGTGTCAGAGCACTACAGGGACAAGGTGTCAGAGCACTACAGGGACAAGGTGTCAGAGCACTACAGGGACAAGGTGTGTCAGAGCACTACAGGGACAAGGTGTCAGAGCACTACAGGGACAAGGTGTGTCAGAGCACTACAGGGACAAGGTGTCAGAGCACTACAGGGACAAGGTGTCAGAGCACTACAGGGACAAGGTGTGTCAGAGCACTACAGGGACAAGGTGTCAGAGCACTACAGGGACAAGGTGTCAGAGCACTACAGGGACAAGGTGTGTCAGAGCACTACAGGGAAAACACGTCAGAGCACTACAGGGACAAGGTGTCAGAGCACTACAGGGAAAACACGTCAGAGCACTACAGGGACAAGGTGTCAGAGCACTACAGGGAAAACGTCGACAGCAGAACAGGAAAAATGTTCAAAGAAACAAAGAAAGGTATTTGCACGGTCCATATTTCAACGCAATGTTATTGTTAAGGTACAAGTATGGAGCACACAACTTAAACTATCTGATAGCCCACGGCTAACATCCAAGTAATAGCTGAAAGTCACAAATACCTGCTCGGTTGGCTAACTACTTGATCTAGGTCACTCATACCTAGTTCGCTGGCTAATTTTAGGTCATTACTACCTGGCCTAATCATGGTCAGCCTGACACTACCACTATCTACACACAGCAGCTTCAACTTTAAACCTACACTGATTGACACATCACACGTGTGTCTAGTGGGTTGTTGTTGTTTTTTTTTTAAACAGAGGAGCAGACTTTCATTTATCCTACGGGACAAGGGGAGGATTGAAAATTTGGGAGGGGGGGGGGGGCGGACACCATTAAGAGATGCATGAAAGAAACACTGAAGGGGACAGATTTAGCCAACATCACCACCAGCATCCAATAACAAAAAAATACTTCTTTAATTGGTGACAACCACCACGCCTGTTAAGTAGATCAACACTACTTCTTAACTAATCTTCGTGAGGAAACACCTCTGCACATATCATTATAACAGGGCGGTGTATTTTGTCCTGACTTTATAACACTTAACCGGATTTTAAAAAAAAAAAACGAACAAAGAAAATTTAGATCCTACACACCCTCCCAGTTCCCACCCGCCCCTTATTGTCATGTAGTCTCGTTGGATTTGTAATCAGGGTTGCTTCAGTGAACTAAGTGTCTGACTGATGACCCCCATACGTCACAGGGGCGACGCGTGGCCCAGACAATGACCCAACTGGCCTTCACAAGTGTACAAGCGAGGCACGCTACATTTATTGTTATTGGTTTAAAAAATAAGCAGTTGGACTACATCTGTCAGACACAGCTATCTGGCCGAGATTTAACTGGTTCACGGTGGCATGCCAGATTGCGTGAACTTGAGATGACACATTTTTCGTCACAGGTCGAGTGTGTGGTCCTCCACACACACACACTGGTTTAAACTATGCAGACAGTGAACCTTCCCTCACACACACACACTCAGGTGGATTATATGGCCCACACACACAGAGGAGGATTATATGGTTATCCATACATACACCTCAATATATCCCCCTACTAGATCCAAGACAACCCTGAAACAACATACAGGTCAAACTACACAGACATTGACACCCCCCCCCCCACATTCATGACAACCCTGCAACAACATACAGTTTAAACTACACAGACAGTGACACCCCCCTCCATCTTCATGACAACCATGCAACAACATACAGGTTGAACTATGAAAACAGTAAACTAGGTGACAAACTACCCCCCCCCCCTCCCAAGCTAATGGCAACCCTGCAACAACATAAGGATTTAACTACAGTGACACCCCCCTCCCCACCTTCAAGACAAACACTGCAACATATAGGTTAAACTATGAAAACAGTGAACTGGGTGACAACCCCCCCCCCCCATCCCCAGCCCATTAAATAACATACAGGTTCAGACTATGCAGACAGTAAACTGGGTGACAACCCCCCCCCCCCCCCCCCCCCAGCCCATGAAATAACATACAGGTTTAGACTATGCAGACAGTGAACTGGGTGACAAGGTGAAGTTACTAGGTAACTGGGTATGTAGGTCACTGTGGAATGTGCAGTAAACAATGTTCCTCTGCACTAGGGCACTCTTTAATTTTTAAAGGGGAACAAAGGTAGGGGGATGACCAAGAAGTGCTTCTAGAGGCAGGTTGTCATGAGAGCAGGTAGAATCCTTCTCATAAGGTTACCCCCCCCCCCCCAATACTAGTGTACATACAAAAACTGCACAAGGTTCTCAAAACACATATATACCTTTAATTAAATGGGCTAACATCTGTATGACCCAGAAGTATCAAAATGTGTTAAGATTAATCTTAAACAACTCTAAAGATATTGGCCTTATAAATGTCAAATATGGATATAGAAGATAGCACTCAGCAGTGCCAGATTTGAATCTAGCTCAGTATCAGAGCTGTCAGGTGACAAATAGAAAGTGAGATTACAACGCTCCAAAGTTAGGTCATTGACATTAGACCATCTTGATAAATAGAGTCAAGCTTGACTCTAAGAGCATGTCTATTAAACCGTTATAATAGCAAACATTTTACTGCAAAAATAGAAGTACTTACCACACAGTCTAATAGACCAACCACATTGCGATGATGAAGACTGGATAACTCCTAGAAATACACAATATAAATTATTTTAATTATAACTAAACTAATGATAAGTAAGAAAAAATGTTAGCATAAAAAGGATACATGGGATTGAAGATGAAAATCGACCTAGGTTTTAATAGTTTCAAGTATTATATGGCAAAGTAACTGTTTTACATACAGTTACAGTGATTTTACTGAGAAGTTAACCAAATCAGTTTTTTAAAGGTTTAAACATAAAGAACAGTAACTGTGTTTTACCTTGAGTATAGTGATCTCCTTGCTGAGCAGCTGCTGAGACTTGAGGAAATTCTTCTTTTTAATTGCTTTGATGGCTACCAGTTGTGATGGGTCCTGTGGAGGGTTTAGAGAGTGTTTAATGTAAACTTACTGGATGGTTTAGAGGTTGTTCAATGTAAATTGGATGGTATAGAGGTTGTTCAATGTAAATTGGATGGTATAGAGGTTGTTCAATGTAAATTGGATGGTTTAGAGGTTGTTCAAAGTAAATTGGATGGTATAGAGGTTGTTCAATGTAAATTGGATGGTATAGAGGTTGTTCAATGTAAATTGGATGATTTAGATGTTCAATGTAAATTGGATGGTATAGAGGTTGTTCAATGTAAATTGGATGGTTTAAATGTTGTTCAATGTAAATTGGATGGTTTAGAGGTTGTTCAATGTAAACTGGATGGTTTAGGTTTTGTTCAATGTAAATTGGATGGTTTAAAGGTTGTTCAATGTAAACTAACTGCATGATTTATTGGTTATTCAATTTAAACAAAATTGCAGGTCTAGAGGGTGAACAATACAACATAACTTGTCTAGAACTCGAGAACGAGTGAGTTTCAGTAACAACAACAAAGCTTGCAATGTCCTAGTAATGTTGCTCAAACATGTACTAAATAATGAACAAGTTTTACAGAACCAAATATAAACAGGCCACTAGTCTGAGAAATATTCTTGGCCATATAACAACATTATGTGTAAACTTTAAACATGCTTAATAATATTTAAAACTTATTACCCATTGTTTTTTTAAGAACTCAAATTGTGGAATAGTATGCTCACATAGTAGGCTCACATCTGAACTCAATTTAATTTACCAAAACTGATTTAGAACCTCATTCTGCATATAAAAGTAACTAGAATAGCCACACATGAGCAGAGTTTTGTATTTTTGTTTAAGGAGGACAGAGAAGAAAACTGAAACATTCCTTGTCATAATAATATAATGTGGTAACAGGCCTTATTTTAAGGATATAAAGATATAGTTTTAAGATGATTATTTACAATGTATAGGATATAAAGATATATATGCAAGATTATTTATGTGGTATACAGATGTGTAAAACATATGAAACAACTAGGGCCTACAGAAACATACTTATTGTTTACATTAGGTTATGATTGTAGCCAAGCTTTGTTTTGTAAAGACAGAGAGTTAAAGTATAGCTACTGCAGAACAGAGTTTACAGTGAGAACCCATATTTACACTATCATTCGTGCTACAAGAGGTAATTTTCAAGGTTTTCAGAACAAAGAAAACTACAACCAGCCCATTGCAGGGCTGTGAGGCAACACCCCAGCTACACCAGACATAAAGAGAAAAACTTTGGGGGCTGTTCCGCTTCAGCGCACTCTCATAAATCAGCTGAGATTCATAAACAAACTAGGCCAACCTGGTAACACGAGCACACCTTTCTTTGTGAAGGTTATAAATAAAGAATGATGAAATCTAAGTCAAACTTGTGCCACACCATCAATAACAACAGAATAACATCCTTAACTGAGAATTCAACAGAACTATGTACCAAATAATATAAATAGAAACTTAACAAGGATATAACTTCACAAATACAAAAATAAAAAAAAACAGATCTACTTAATTATGACAGTTTTAAACACTAAAAACTCACCTTTTTTGCACGACCTTTCCACACGGTGGCGAAGGCTCCAGTTCCCAGCACACCACCTTTAATGATTTCATATTCACCAATATCTGTCTCTGAGATCATGGTTGATGGTGTTGTGGGATGGCTACACATATAATTTTAAAATTATTTAATCCAGAATTCACACACGTGTTATGGATGATTAATTACTTTTTTTAAAGTAGTCCTATTTTTAAACTACAAATAACAGAAAAAAATTAAAAACACAACTGGTCATTTTTTAAACCCTACACTTCCTTCATATATTCATTTTAACTTAGTTAAAACCTGGGCTTTGTGTTTATCCCCCAACTAAGTGTTGTTTAAGCAATGGGGGTTAAGTAGGCACTAGTATTGTATTGAGAAGCTGTAGAGAAAGATGAAGGCACAGAAACGATACTAAACCAGTAAGTCAAATACTGAAATATATTTAATATTTAGTACAACTATAACAACATAAACATAGAAAGAATTAAATATAATTGCTGATTGAAAGAAGTAAGATATGTAAATTATAATCAAAACTGGGTATCGCCCACCCATATTCCAATGCCATAAATAATATGTTTTATGAGTGAATATTAATAGTTAATATTGATAGTTGCAGGCCTAAAATAATTTTTTTTAAATTTTCTATTCTTGTTCTCCTTGGCTCACACTAGATTAAGGTCTACATTGTCATTAGCTTTAACTAGATTTGGATGATATTTATAGAATCGACCCTTTGAATCCCGGCCAGAACGTCCCCCCGGCGTGGCCTCAACCAACCGGCGGGCTCGTTGCATTGAGTTAAATATAAATTCAAAACAATAATATAAACAATCTCCTTTTAGGTTGGTCAGGCCACATACCACGCACGCAGTGTTGTGTGTTGTGCCTTAACCAAAGTAAACTATCTCCCTTCATTATCGTTAGACATTAGGGCATTGCAATGGTAGGATTTCGGTTGGGGTTAAGATAGGGTTAGCATTGACTTTAGTGGGGGATTTCTTATACTAGTGCCTGATGATAGAATGTTCTGAAAAAAAGAGTTTTAGGTTACTGGTAGTATCTAAATTCTAAAATACACACATGGCTTGCTAATCTCAATACTCAATGCTAACCCTATCCCTAATTTCTAACCATAAAACTAGTCTAGATTAGAATACTACTAACAAGCTAACATACCTATTTTTGGATGAGTCTATTGAAATATTAGAGTATGTTTGTGAGTTTGTTATGTTAGAGATCTAGTTACAAGTAGATCAAGGACGTGTAGACAATCGAAACAAGAAAGCGAAGAAAGTATTCCATTACTAGCTAGATCTATATGGGTCATTCCATTAAGCTTGTCTTTACTAATTGACAATTGTCTAGATTTTACTTTAACTTTACTTACTATAAATAACTCCAGCCAGGACTTAGATCTAGATCTAGAACTCTACTCTAGATCTCTAGGTCCTAAGGCCTAAGGCTAAGGCCCTAAGGTCCTAGAAATTCACAAATCATCAAATGAATGTGAGTGTACCTTACTCTAAAACTAAAATTCTAGCTTATAGACTTCAGTAGAGACTTAATTTCAATAATTTGTATAGATAAGTCACTAATCTATATCTATTATCTAGATTATAACTCAGTTAAGTAAGTAGAATCTAGATTCTAAATGTACTAAAATCAGTGCTCAGTCACAGTCTCAAACTCAAGTTTACTCAACTCCAATACTCACGATATGATTCAATATGAATAAAAATATAAAAATATTTATTTAAGAATCTATTTATTCTAATCTAGATCTATAGTATTCTATAGTTACATTACATTTTAGTCTTTACCTTTAATTAATCAAAGCATGTTTCGTCAAGCCATTTATTTTAAAATAACAGTAAACCACACTGATTCATTTCGCTGTTTTATATTCCACTCATGGTCTCTCTGTTAGAGAAGAAAGTGATTATAATTTCTGAAATGTAGCTCCACCTGATTATGTTTGGGTTTGGGCCAAATCACATAGTGTCAAACTGTGCCCGAGGAAAAGTAGTGCCAAAATCTTTCAGTAAAAACAAATAAAGCAACTGAGTGAATGAAAATTATTTTTTTAATAAATTTCAATTACAATTTATTAGTGTTTAGATAAAAACAGATAAATAAGAATAAATAACACATTTATTATTTTATGTAATTGCGTCATTACTACGCTTTCCCTTTCATAATTTAGCTAGGCCCTAGCTTGAACTTTTATTGTGTGTCTTTTAAGGCTACTCATTCAACTTGAGCCCAAAAGACAAATTATTTTTGTTATTTAAAATTAAAATTGAATGGCTATTTTTATAATTATATAATCCTTTGATGTTGTTTAAAAACGTTAAAACAGTCTTAATTTAAATATATCCTACGTTTTTGTCTTATTTATTAGTCTTATTCACATAAGATCTCTCTTCTTAAACGATTTTCACCATCCCTTCCCAAAAGTCTCCTCCCTCTCACCCCCCCCCCCACACACACACACTCACCCCACTCCAAATACCGTTACATTTCAGTCTAACAGTCCCCTCGAAGTTGCCTTTTTTTCTTTTTAAACCGATATTTCTTTCTAAAACATTTATTTCGTTCAACATCGGGTGTGTGCTTGTGATGCTAGATCTAACTATTCTCAAAGAAAGTCTTTTTAAAATGTGTATTAACTTTAAAAAATGATGATTTTAAAAATTACTTTTTAAAATGCAAGTGTGTCGCAAAAATCTGTTTTAACATAGAAGTATTTTGATGTTAAATTAAGCGCAGCGCGTTGTGGAACCAAAATGTATGTCTGCACGCGTCCACTCAAGTCGATTTTTTTATGACTCCCCTTAAATGAATATCGAGCACTTAGAATCTTGATTTAAAATATTCATTTTGATATGATATGAGAATATTCTAAAACTCCGTAATTCAGCTGAGTTTTTTTTTTTTTTTTTTTTTTTTTTTTTTTTTTAATTAACAAACAAGATTAGATTATTTTTATGTAGGTAATAAAAATAATACTAGATCTAGTTAGTTTTTTTTTCTGAAGTTAGTTTTCTCTGCACTTGTTATGTTTGAACTGACTTTTCAAATTAAAAATTATGACTGTAATTGCTGTGTTTAAAAAGTAATAAAAACATAAAGCCCAAATCACAAATGGCTAGAGCAGGATTTCAATTCAAGGGAAGCGACCCGATAAAAAAAATCAGTTTTGCTGTTGCGTGTCAGATTTTTAAAAACTCGTTCATCGCGCGACCAGTGCTAAAATATGAAAACTTAATATTCTGAACGGGGCACGCTTTTGCAAATTGGTACGTGCACAAAATAAAAAAATATCTCATGGTTTTTGCACATAAAAATCGAGTTTCATTATTATTACAAAGTTAAGTGTTCTGATGTGTGCTTATATTGTGTTGTAAAAAGCCTCCAATAAATTGGCACGGAGAGGCCAACATTGCCTATTGCTATCTTTCTCTAAAAATTCATCTTTCGTCAATAGGGAAAATGGCTACCATCTATACGTCTAGCCCCCTCTAGCTACTATATTCATAAAACGCCCCCAACAAAGCGACTCACGATAATAGTGCGACTCAGGGGTCATCCATAAATGACGTCACGCTTTTTTTTTGACGATTTTTACCTACCCTCACTCCCCTTCGTCACACGTCGTCACAAAAAGCCAGACCCCCCCCCCTAAAATGACGTCACAACTCAGCCTACAACCCCCTCAAAATTGCAGTTGAATTTTTTTAAAACATCGATATTTTTCCAAAATCTTGTCTCAAATATGTCAAGATAGAGTATTTTAATCAACTCCTATTATAATTTATTAAAACTGTTTTCTAAAACGCCAAATAACGTCTAAAATTCGTTTCCTAACATTTCTTATCTATAAAGCAAAAGTGTGACGTCGCACCATCTGAACTCCCCCCTCCCCCTCATCACACATCGCCTCAAAATTACCGACCCCCCCCCCCCCCTACGAGTGTGACGTCATTTATGGACGACCCCCTAAGTAAAGACGGCTTTGCATAGTACCGACCACACTATCCAGTCTTAAGTCGTTACAGAAACAGTTTAACTCTACTTCACCTGTCCCCGTGGGCCGTTAGGTTCGATAAGGTAAGTAACCCCCTTTACATAGCGTCATTTATGTACGACCCCATGGGGATCCAGTCCCGCAAATGTTTAACCATAATCACCCAGTCACGTAAATGATTAGCCAACATCATAAAGTCACGTTTCTAGGTCGGGTGTCACCCGGTGCGGCACTTAATGGTGTCACCCCCCCCCCCCCAGAGGCGTAGCGACCCTTCCCGGGGACAAACTTTCAATTTTCGATTAGCACTTCCCCCTCAAACTTTCGATTTGCACCCCCCCCCCCCCCTCAAACTTTCTATTTGCACCTCTTAAAAGACTATTTAACGCTCGAATTAATCACTTAATTAAGCGGAATTATCATTTTTCTCTATATATTTTTTCTATTTTTTGCCTTGGTGTCACCCCCCCCCCCCTAAATGGTGTCACCCGATGCGGTCCGCACCCCCGCCCCCCCCCCCCCGCTACGCCTCTGACCAACATCACCCAGTCACGTAAATGGTTAACCAACATCACCCAGTCACGTAAATGGTTAGCCAACATTCAGCCTTGTAAATGGTTAACCAACATCATCCAGCCTTGTAAATGGTTAGCCAACATCATCCAGCCTTGTAAATGGTTAGCCAACATCATCCAGCCTTGTAAATGGTTAGCCAACATTGCCAACATCACCCATTCATGTGCGGTTAACCAATATAACTATTATCCAATGTGTGATCCAAATTGTTAGCAAACCATGTTACACCTAGGGGACTAAGGAGATATAAATATGTATGCGATCCCCACCACGTGGCGTCACAAGGCGGTGGCGGGGGTGCGGTAGAGGCGTAGCGAGGGCGGGGCGGGGGTGTGGTCCACAGCGAGTGACACCACGACTAAAAATCGTAAAATTTGCAGTCAAGCCAATGTTTTATCGAATTAAAGTAACAAAATAATGGAGGAACAGGGGTGACACCAAAACCAAAAAATTCAGTTGCCGCACCGGACGACACCAGACGTAGTGACGCCACTGTCCCCACCCAAAACAGTTATAATCAGAAAACAACTAGTCAAGTTAGGATGTCATTCAACTCTATAAATTATGGTACAGCACAAACAATTAGAGGATTCAAATTATGTAAAAGCGCATTGACATTCTTGTCCCATCAAACCAGATTAGTTAAGGCAAAGAGTTCGTTGCTATGGCGTAACTGCGCGTCAATAAAAGATTGCGTGTGGTGCGTTTATTGAAACCCATAATTTAAGACCAGGTAATGTGGTGACATGGGATTTGCCAAGACGAATAAAGCAATTGAACAGAGGCGTAGCTTTTTTTCTAAGCCCAGGGCAGTGGCGCAGCGAGGGGGGGGGGGGCAGACCGCACCGGATGACACCATTTAGGGGGGGTGACACCAAGGCAAAAAATAGCAAAATATATAGAGAAAAATGATAATTCCACTTAATTAAGTGATTAATTCGAGTGTTAAAAAGTCATTTTAGAGCAAATTTGATAAATCCCGACAAGGGTGGAGGGGGTGCAAATCGAACGTCTGACGGGGGGGGGGTGCAAATCGAAAATTGAAAGTTTGTCCCCGGGAAGGGTCGCTACGCCTCCTCTGGGGGTGACACCATTAAGTGCCGCACCGGGTGACACCCGACCTCGCTACGCCACTGACCCAGGGTGACACTATCAATGTTGCGCCCCCCCCCCCGCACATACTTTGTTATTCACGACGGCGAAAAGCCCCTCTCCCCCCTTTTTTTAGAAAGTTCTAGGGCGCTTTTACCAGTCACTCATGGACCTTTAACGTTTTTTTATGTTACACAATTGTTGTAAAACATTGATTAAGTCATCGAAACCATGTAGTAGTCACTTATGATTCGACTTTCTATAATGTAATTTAAATCAGGATTAGCTATATATATTTTCCTACTCTGTTTGGCGCCCCCCCCCCCCCGGGAAGGCGCCACCCGTCCTCTCATTGCTACGCCTCTGCTATTAAAAGTTTAGCTTGAGCTATGTAGTTTTTAAAAAGGGATTGTTTTGTTTTGCCAGTGACGGTTATAATTTTAATTAGCGTTGATTTTTCAGGGAAGAAAAAAAGTTAAATTAATAATCCAAAATGCGGTTCGTGCTTTTTTAAAGTAGTAATTTAAATAAAGATAAGTGATTTTTACAAGGGATAAAATAGTAAATGGAATCGCATATCTATTATAAAAACAGAACTGGTTTGCATTGTCTTTAATTATTACTTTAAATAGTAGGGTCAAGCTTTTAATTTATTTTATTTGTAATAAATGTTAAATATTTCTCAATTCTAATTATATTTTGGGGGTCGCACCGGGACTAAACATTTTATTTACAAAATCATGAGAGTATTTCTTGGATATGGTTTAATATCTTAATATCTTATGCCAAGGGCTGTCGTAGTGCGCTATATAGGAGGCCACCTGTTGCACTACATAGTGGCGGGTCCCGCCACTGGTTCAGTGTTTCTTTCAGACTTTTCTCTCCGGGTGGGGGCACTTGAAAATTTCGGGGGGGGGGAGGAAGGTGGACACTGATAAACAGTATAAATTTTCTATATAAAATCTATTTCGTTCAGGGGGGGGGGGGGCGGGGAAGACGTGCTTCGCCCCCTCTCAATCCGCATCCGATTTGTTTATCGACTGTAGTACTCCATTGTCCCCCTATTGTAGGGCGCTCTTTAAAACGAATGTAGTTGCCATAGTGTCCATGAAGACCAGAACCGGGGCACCTGTAAGATTCACCTGGTACTTTTTAACTGTAGATTCAAATAGTAGTACTCCTGACCCCTATGTACGACGCCAAATCAACAGACCTCATGAGCTAAGGAAACCTTGATGGAACTCGGGGCGCACACATGCACACTACCTTCGGAGCGCCGCCTGTCCGATATTTAAATAATTTGCCAGAAGCCTTTTGGGCAGAGTTTCTTCCAGGCATCTCTTCGGGGGGGGGGGGGGGGGGGGGGGGCCCGAAAAATTTTTACCGCCCCCCCGAACGAAAGGAAATTTATATAATTTATATAGAAAATATATACTTTTAACAGTGTCCGCCCCCCCCCCCCGAAGAAAGTTTACCGCCCCCCCCGAACGAAAGGAAATTTATATAATTTATATAGAAAATATATACTTTTAACAGTGTCCGCCCCCCCCCCCCGAAGAAAGTTTACCGCCCCCCGAAGATTTCAAGTGCCCCCCCCCCCCCCCGGAGAAAAAAGTCTGGAAGAAACACTGCTTTTGGGGAGCGTAGGTATACCCTACAATTTACCAAAGTTTCGTGATGATCTGATGAATTGCAAACACTTTTCGTAATATTAATAGAAATGTCAATTGTATAATGACAAGACTCTGGACAACCGGAGAAAACCAAAATAAAACGTACTCTGAAGGGGTCATCCATAAATGACGTCACGCTTTTTTTGAAGATTTTTACCTCCCCCCCTCCCCTTCGTCACACATCGTCACAAAAAGCCAGACCCCCCCCCTAAAATGACGTCACACCTCAACCTACAACCCCCCCTCAAAATTGCAGTTGAATTTTTAAAAAACATCGATATTTTCCAAAATCTTGTCTAAACTATTACAATTTATTAAAAAAGTTATCTAAAACGCGAAATAACGTCTAAAATTCGTTTTCTAACATTGCTTTTTTATAATGCAAAAATGTGACGTCGCAACATCTGACCCCCCCCCCCCCCCTCCCCCTCATCACACATCGTCACAAAATTACGGACCCCCCCCTCCCCCCTACGAGTGTGACGTCATTTATGGATGACCCCGAATAAATCGACGGAAAATGAGACCAACCAGAACCCTGAAAGGCGAGATTTGTTTCAATACAAAGTATGTATTAAACATTAAGATGTTAAAGATGTTAGACCATCAAAACTTTGTTCTAGGTCTAGATCTAGATCTAGATCTGTGTTTATAATAGATCTACTTTCAAACTGCGCCTTCTATTTTGGTACTTTTGGAAGTCAAGATATTGTCAATATTGATTTCGAATCTAATAAGTTGTTTGTGTTTTTTTGAATGAACAATCAAGTAAGACTTAGTAAGATCTAGTTAAACCGTTGGAACCATATATATATAATTCAAAAGACAAGCGGCTTTTAACACTTTTTTTTTCAAACTAATCAATTTTTAGGCAAGATTAAATTTGAAATTGAATTTTTAATCCTTCCCTGTCCTCTGGAAGTGTCGATTCTTCCGTAATGTTTCGTTTTCTTGCAGGATAATTCCAAAATTTAACACTATTTTTGTCCAGTGTTTTGCGTGTTTTTCATTGCACGTGGTAACAACATTGAATTAAAATGCACACAATAATTTGATCCTACGCTGTTGTGTAAATGTTTATCTAGATTTCCTACAATCATTATTTTTCTGTTCAAGGAAAGTTTGATTACGAATCTTGCAATTCAAAAGAATAAAATCGTAAGTTTCTTCCATTCACCACTGCACTAGTGCGAAGTAAAAGAAACATTTTTTTTCGACATGAATGAAGTTCGGGTGATCCTTGGTGACATTGGGCTTGGGTCGTTAAAACAGTAAGAGTTAATGTCACCGGACTAATACAATTTAGTAGAATTATTCTGATTTAAATAGCGTACATTTATAATTATCAGTCATATCCAGGCCTAGTCATTGTCTAGATCTAGTTTGCAGAAGTTAGAGAGAGTTAAACTGGTTCTCTTTATTTACATTTTGAAAACTTGCCACAGCCATGTTTGTTTTGTTTTCCCAATCAATTTCATCAGGTTGAAACTAGACTCTAGACTAGATCTAGATACTAGTCTAGATAGATCTATTCTGATATTATTATATTGATATAGAATTCTAGTTCTATCATGACTAGATCTAATCTAGATCCAGAAGTAGATCTAGATTCTAGAACCTAAGTCTAGAAGAAATTTTTCCTAGCCTCTAGCTAGCTTAAGGCTTAAGCTAGTCTAGATTTCATCATTCTTTATTCTATGATCATTCTGTCTATGAAGTCTGTGACTGTGTGATCAGAGCAGCAATGTGCTGGCTATTGGCTATGATTTACTTAAGTCAGAAGTGTTGCATCAATTAAAAAACAAAATTTAGGCTTATGAGGCTTATGCAAATAGTAAAGGCTAATGCTAATAAAATTTGGGCATAGATCTAGCAGCTAGATCTCTGGGCCCATTAATTATTATTATAGCAAAGTGACTAGATATCTACTTGGAAGAAGCTTCCCCCCCCCCCTTCAGAAAATGCAAAATGCAATGTCCTTAGTAGCTGTGCAATGGGCTCAAAAGGGCCATTTGCCTTTTAGCCTTCAGTTATTCTTCTGACAAAACTATCTGTACAGAGGTTGAGCAGTTGTGGGTCGTCGGAATTTGAGGGTTCATAGTATAGTTATATCCAGTAAAGCGTTCTAGTCTATAACTATAAGTAAAGTAAAAAATATATTTTAAAAAATCTATTTGAATAGCCTATTTAAATCTACTATTTAGGCCTAAGTATTATTGTGTTAATACCTGTCCTATCATGACAACACTTAGCCCTAAACTTCGAACGTTTAGATGACAATAAAAACAAGGTTTTAAAGCGCTATGTGCATCTTCTTCAGGTTAGAATTAGCCATATTAAAATCTAAGTGAGGTAGGGAACCTATGTTTTACTGTTTTATACCAGTGTCCGATAATGCCACATTTATCATAATGGAATCTTTTTTAAAAATTGTTTAATTTGGCTCAGTTAACCTAAATACAAATTTGCCTTGCTAGATGGCAACACTGGTCCCACCATTGCCCTACCCTAACCATTTCTGACCATCAGCACTAAACCTTAGATTAAAATACTACAAATAACCTAACAAGCCTATTTTCTGAAGAGTCATACATTGGTGATACCAAAAGTCAATACTCATTTCATAACAATAAAAAATTAGGCCTGTCCTGGTGATTTAGTTTTTATAATTTTAAATTACAAAATGTTGTAGTTGTAGTCTGAAAAGTACTATAGTCTAAGACTAGGTCTAATGGACCTTTAAATTTTTTTGTAATTTATTCTTCAGTTTTAGACCTACTCACCTAGTTATGTGCCTAATTTGATTAAAAATTATTTTTGCCTAAACATAAAACAGCAATATTATAATTGTCTAATCTTTGAAAATCCTTATTGTTTTGTTAAGACTTAAATTAAGCTGAATTGTTTTAGGGATAAACAAAAATAATCCTTTGCTAGATTGAATATGGCCTAGGCATATATAAATACTAAATACAGCTTTATGGTTTGTACTAAACAATATTGAAATAAATGAGTTTTTCCTGCCTGAATCACTTATGGAAAATGATGGCTAGGGTTGAATTAGAAGGGTAGTGATGCTAGGAAAGAGTTTTGATCATGTCCTGACCATATTTAAATAGTGTCAAATGCAATAACCTATTTGTTGACTATGACGTTTAAAAAAAAAGTTGTTTGGCTCCTTCTCCTTAAGTGTTCATACCTAGGCCTACACATCAGTACTGTAAAGAGATCATTTAATAGTTTATTATATACTATTACCAATTTCATCACAGTAAATTGTTTTAACAATTTTGTAGGTCCTACTAGCACTGTGTAATCATTATTTATAAATATAGTGCTAAGTAACCTTATAATAGTATTCTGTCTTTGGTTTTTTTTTACTTGTATAAAAAATATTTAACAATGGTAAAAAAATATGGGATAACTTTTATAAAGCTTGTACATATGGGAAATTTTGTTAAGCCCATAAATAGCTTAAAACAAGCATTCCCCAAGTCTATGTATTCCATATATTTTCATAGCTGTTGTCTTTTAGAACCAAAGAACCTGCAATACTAGCTTTATAGAAATAGAAGTATTAATATTTGAAAGATAAATGTAAATATTTAAACTCATAAGAGGATAAATCTATTTTTTTATGTTTTAGTTTTAGCCATAATAATAATACTATAGCTTTAACCCTGAAAGCTCGCTAAGCTACAATTGTGGCTTTGCTGTTACACAACTTATAACGCGTAAGGCCACGTAGCGCACAGTTTAAGGGTTAAAAACTAACCATTTAGTATTTACCTCCAAATTAGAATTATTTTTGCTTCTCATTTACTGACATTACATGAAAATGACTCTGGCTTGATTTAGCTAGATTTTTTTTTTCATTTTTATTTGTCCTAGTATTCACAAGGCAGATTATATTTGCTACTATGTCAGCCATTAGTAATTTGTCACTCAATAATTTAACTTTATACCTTGAACTTATTATTATAATTACAAAATTGTTAATTATTAGCTTATGTGCTATAAAATGGGTTGTAAGATACAATTTCAAATAGATCAATGTATAGGTTGTGTCTAACAGGGGTTAGTGGGCAGGAGGACAATTTTAATGGCTGTCATAGGATGAATGTTTACAAATTTTGTTTCTAGAAATTACACAGTATTTGTAATTGTTTAATTTAACACTAGATGGTTTATTTACAATAACGGGAAAATTCTGCTTATCATGTGTGTTTCCTTGTTTATGTGGTCAGTTGCTTGATGGATGATTGGCCCACTCATCAGTCAAGATCAGCTTTTCAATGTGATAGCTAATCCACGGCAATAGCTCTTTCTTTTTGCCTTAGGCTATAGGATTTTTTTCTAGATAGTTTTGTACAGTTGTGTGAAATTGTAACATGATCAAAAGTAGGAAAAAAAACCTAATCATTTGTCCTAAGAATACTAGCCAGTTAACATTTACTTGAGTTTTTTGTTTTCATATATAAGCCTTAGAAGATGTTAAAATTGTGTAAGTACTTTCATGCAAAATAAATTCTTATTCTGGCCTTGTTAAAACTATTTCATAATTCTACAGATATTTCTTCTGTGTTCTATATAAAATCTAGTCTAGATTTCACCTTATAATAAACATCCCTCTAATCACAAATAATATTTTTAAAAGAGATATTTTAACATTTGTAAATGTATTATTTATTATATATTTATTAATATATAGGGTTATATAAGATGTTTTTTAAATTTATTTTATATGGGAATTATTTGTCTACAAAAATGAGGATGTCTCTAATGAATGTTGGGAGTTCCATTATAAATCGAACAAAAAATTGCTCAGCTACGCAGTTTTGTGCAATAGCTATGTTGTAATCCTAGTTAAAACATGAGTGGTACCATCTGTTGTCATCTTACTGTTAGCCATCTGTTATTGATTTGTTTTCTGTATATTATAATTGGAGTTTACTTGCATTCACATTGCTTGCATTTTGTGTGTTGGTTATTTTTGGTTATAGATTTAGATGGGTAAGTTCTGTTATAAAATTACTTTTAGTGAAATTTATTTATTTTGTTGGGGTAGGAGTGTATATATTAAAAATCTTTTGTCAAGCACATTTTCATAGAAAGATTTAAAATGGTAGCATATGGTTGATTTCGTACATTTCTTTTTGGTTAAATCTTGTGTACCTTATGTTTGTGAGCCTTGGTTGTTTCTCTTAATCTTCAGTAGAAGTATTATTAGCAGCATTCTAGTTTGCATATTATTTACAAGAAATGCAATATTATTCAGCAACCATAATTTTACATAAGATAACCTTTTATGATAGTTTTTCTTGCCTGATACTTTTTTAGAATGGTGAGGTTGGATTTTCTCAAATTTGTATTTCCATTTGTTTGTATTTTTAAAAAAACTTTTGATGTTTTTTAAAACTTAGTAAACTTAGTTACTAAATTAAATTTCTTTTTTTCTTCTTTAGATTTTATCACTTTAATACCTGAAGGTTTAACGACCATCATGAAAGATTTCAGAGTACCTTTTACTCTGGCAGTTCCGTTGTCCTTAGCTTTGCTGGGTGTCTTATGGATTGTTAAGAGAAGAGCAGGGAAAAAAGATGGAAAGAAACCAGTTAAACCTATCCTCAAGGACACCAAGGAGTCTGACTCTGAAAAACAAATTGAGGTTGAGAAAGTGGTTCAGACTAAACCCGTTGAAACAGAAGGCATTACTTTAACTCAAAGAAAAATACCAGACACCTTTGCCAGAGATCGTGGTAGCTCAGATCTAAGTTCTCCTGGTCTGAAAGCTGGAGTACTTGATAAAGAACTTATCTTGATGGCCACTCTTTCTGAAACCAAGTCAAAGGAATGCATAGTGTCAGGGAATTTTGGTCAAGGAGATTCTTTAAGCACAATTCAAAAAGAACAAATTGAAGAACTAATCACCTCAGCAATGGGTGACGGTCTTCAAGAAGCTAAAGCTGTTCTGGCCAAATCATCCAACTCACTCTCTGCTTCATCAGATGTAACTGATACCTTTGTCTCAAGTCTTAATGTATCACTATCTTGTGGTAATAATAATGCTGATCTACCTGAGGCTCTTGAAGTTGTGGAAACAATATCTGTTGCTTCTGATGCCACCCAAGTTAGCCAGCTAGAGCCTCATTTGCTTGAACCACTGAGTGAAGATGAAACAGCCTGTCTTGATCTAAACAAAGAACCAGAGATAAGTGTGTCCAACATAAGCAGTGATTTGGATGATCACACATCTTTCCCTGAAGTTAGCAACCTTGTCACTGATGTTTCTTTCAGCTTCTCAGAAAGCATTACAAGCGAGACCAACATAACAGAATGTGTACAATCTCCAGACTGCATTGATCCAGTAATTTCAGTTGAAGGAGATGGATCAGATAGTGCCCAGTCATTTAATGGCAGTGATGGGGAGGATAGTGACATTGTTAAGTCATCAGACGCTCTTGATAGCAATCTGGATTTGAAAAGCGACCAGCAAGCCGAAACAAATCCCTGCCAGTTTGTCACCCATGAGTCTTCTAACCACGCTCCTTGTTCTGAAAGTGCAAGCCACCCACCCACAGACAGTAACTGCACACCACCACCTTGTGACCAGCATGAGGCTGAGTCTGGAGCCCCAGAAACACCAGCTGTGGCATCAGTAAGCTTAGACAGTTTGCCTGAAATGTCCTCCGGCAAGGTGTTGGACTGGAGCACAGAATGCGGTGACCTAACTTTTAACACAGCCGCTGAAACATCTGTCTCCCCCTTGGATGTCAGCACTTCATCAAAGGGAGTTTTCGTCGCCAGCAACTTGGAGGTGTCTGACAACTCTGACGCTGTTTCCTTCTCTAGCTACCATAGCAGCAGCAACGTGACTCAGAACTCAAGTGATCAACATCTGTCTCCAGCTGAGGAAAATAAGGAAGAATCCCCTGCTAAGTCCATCTCTCCTCTTTGTGATAACAATAGTGAGGTGAGTAGGGAAAGACCTTTATTGTCACTAGATATTTAATATTTTTCCATTTCTATGGGAAAAGGTATAAAATACAAGTAATTAAGTCAGTCATACTTCAAAAAATAATTAAAAATGAGATATATTGAAAAAACATTAAATGTGACAGACTGACATATGTACATCTGTAGTGATATTGGATAGGTCTGTTTTAGTAGGCCATTAATCAATGCATTCTATGATTAGTTAAGAAAAAATATGTATTTGTCTACAGCATGCTACTGTAGGTTATTTGTATGAATAATTTTGTGTTCTTTTTCTAACAGTTTTTGTCAACCAGCAAATGTATTTATTTACTACAGACTTACAGGAATAGATTTAAATGTTCACACAGTAAAGCTAGCTTTCACTAATCTTTTAAAACAAAAACTTCATACAGCTTTTACCTATCACCCCTTCCAATGGTGTGAGGATTACCATAAATGTCATTCATTTATGGACATTTTTTAGTGAATTATTTTGATGCTAAAAGTCCTCAAAAAATTTAATGCGTAACAGTGCTGTATTAGAAAACATAAGTATTATAAGTTACTAATCTTAAATTAATATTACTTTTAATAAAATAATAGTAATTTTCCATAATCTTTAGTATACAAATAGTAAATATGTAGTATCAAAAGTAAACTTCTCTGCAATTGAAGTCCTATTTTATTTCTGATCTTTTGAAATAAAGCAATCACAATGGATGCGTAGGATATTATATATAGAATTATGGAGGCTGTACAAAAAAGCCTTAGTTTGTCTTTTTAAAAAAACACTTAATTTTTTAATAAAAAAAAACTTGGCAGAAATTTCTGAATCACATCTTAGACTAATATATTTTCACTAGCTGCATCCCGTGCTCCGCCACGGTAAATCTTTTTTAAATGTACCAACTTTGGAAAAGAACAAAACAAACAAAAACAACACAAACACAAAAAACACAACCACAAACACAACACAACCACAACACAACCACAACACAACCACAACAAAACCACAACACAACCACAACACAACCACAACAAAACTACAACACAACCACAATACAACCACAACACAACCACAACCACAACACAACCACAACAAAACTACAACACAACCACAACACAACCACAACTTCAACACAACCACAACACAGCCACAACACAACCACAACACAACCACAACACAACCACAACCACAACTACAACACAACCACAACAAAAACACAACCACAACACAGCCACAACGCAACCACAAAACAACCACAACACAACCAAAAATCAACCACAACACAACCACAACACAACCACAACACAACCAAAAAACAACCACAACACAACCAAAAAACAACCACAACACAACCACAACACAACCAAAAAAAAACAACAACACAACCACAACATTAGAATCACCACCAAACAACACGCTTTTTTAGGCGTCCGCGCCCAAAGACAGCCTTTCCAACATTAAAAATTTAAGTCACATAAATAGATCCTACTCCATAACTTACAATAAAACAATGCGATGCAAATGAATGTACGGCAAGTGGTGTTTACTTTTATGGTTCTAAGAAAACACATTGGCAATGTAATTAGAATTACCACCGAAAAACACGCTTTTCCCAGGCGTCCGCGCCTAGAGAGAGTCTTTCCAGCATTCTCTATACTATAATTATAAAATTTCACCATCTGTTAACACCAAAAAACAAAAACAAAAAATAGTGATTTTGAGAAATGATAGACTAATTAGAAAATAGTATAAATAATCTTAACATTTTTCTCTTTTAATTATGAACCTTAACATAGACTAATCAATGCGGTAGTAATAAAAAAAAAGATTAACTTAAATTATTGTTGAGTTAAATATATTTTCAAATTACCTCCCTTGAAAAAATTACCACAAAAAAAAGTTGAATTAATTAGTTTTTTCGACCTACTTTTATGGAAATGTATCCACTTTTTCTGGGAACCTAAACGAAAATGATATTTGACATTAATCTTTTTAATACGTTTTAGCAGTTTGCGTGTATTTAATATTTTCTTGACGTTATGCGAAAGAGTAAAAACCGTGGCAATTATAAAATAGCTCTATGCTGCTATATAAACAAACCCTACTCTATTACTTATAATAAGACACTGCGATGCACTGAAAAGCACTGCATGGTGCGAATGTTTACTTTTATGGTTCCAAAAGCTATAGCGATGATAGAAGGAAGGAAGGACTGACACACGCTCAGCCCGCTTATATTATAGATTTGTCAAAAAAGTAGTATAAGATAATTTTAACTCAGAAGTTGCTGTAACTCACTGGTGAAGAGTCCTATACAACCATATTGCCAATTGATGTAGCAGTAACAAACTTCATAATTTTAACACTTGCTCAAAACGTAGCTTCTGTTAGTTGTTTAACAACTTTTGCTACTTTATTTTACCTATTTTTCCCACAATTAATATTCACATTGAAATGCCTTTTTTACTCTTAGGGCTCTAATGATAGTGGTAGAGGAGGTAGTGAACATGATGTGGTCTGCCATGGAGGCGACTCCCTTGTTCATTTTGATTTCAACATGCCATCTGATTTGTGTGGACGCTTTATCGGAAGACAGGGCAAAAACATCAATTATCTGAAGAGTAAAACAGGGGCAAATATCTCTCTTTCAAACAACCCCTTCACTGCAGATTTCCAAATTTGCCAAGTTGTAGGTAGGAAATACAAATTGTAAATTAATATCTGAAATTGAATAGCTATGTGTAAGATCCTTTTTATGCAATTAACTGGCTGCAGATTAAATTGAGGTAGATTGGCAAAGCACATGTCAATGTATTGTATTAAAGTGGGGTTCAAATCTAGATGGTAATCCCATTGGATTTGGCTTATAGGATGTTCATATATTTCTCATAAAAACGTGTTGCTCTCAGTGGCTCACCATACTATGGTGGGTTAAAATTTATTTTAATTAAAAGCATTACATAGAGAAAACTATTTTTAAAAATTCATTGGTTGTTGAGTTTAAGATTCTTTCTTTGAAAACATCTCTAGTTGTTGGTTCAGCAGACTATGTACATTTTATCTGCTATCATTCAAGGTACACAAGCAGAAGTGGATGAGGCTCTGACCATGATTAGAAGGAAATTCCCATTAAATGAATATCCTCTGTTGACAATGGTTCCAATTAACATACCACAGACTCCACAAATAGAATATCCAGTAATTGTGTCTGATGTTATGCAGGTGTGTTTATAAAACCTTATTCATTCTAGTCATTCGTAATTGAGCTTAATGTTTTCATTTAATGGTTTTTTTTTAATATTATTGTTAGAATGTACTGATATAGAGTAGATTTTTTCATTAGTCTGTCTTTTGACAGTGCGTGTAAATAAGATTTGATGTGATTTAGTAGTATAACGCTCACTTGCCAACCAGAAAGTCCAAATTTGGTACCTGGTCTCTCTGCCACCCCACCCGTATCCAATCCAGGTGTAGCAGTGCGCTGAGGAGTAAATAAAATCTAGGCAGAAACCCATGGGTTGGCAAAATATGTGAAAAATGCTAGATTATTAGTCCTGTTGCAGTCTGAATAACTCAGGAGCAATGCTTGATCCAGTTTCTCCTCATGCTTAAATCTGTTTGGCACTAGAAGAACTTGTCATTTATATCACACATTTATTTCTCAATTTTTTAGCTGAGTTTGCCAGAAGGTGTTTCTGTGGATGTTTACGTATCAGCCATTGTAGATGCCGGCCATGTCTTTGTCCAGCAGCCAACACATCGGTCATTCATGTCTCTTGAGAAGCTCACTTACTTCCTGAACACAGTGTATGGTCAAGATCCCACAGTCCCATGCGTCCCAACACCTTTAGAATGTAAGAGTTTTGTCTATTGTTATTTGCTGGATTACTTTTGATTAAATTAATACATAATACACGTAGTGGTAAGATATACATATTTAAACTGTAGTTTTAGATCATTTATATATTTAATAGTTAAAGGGTTTCTAAACTTTGTATCCAGTTATATTCACAACTCTAAAATTTTAGAATTTACAATATTTATTTAGAAATTTATTCTAATACTTTGTATGATCATAAATTTTATTTATTCAGTTATCGATATGTCACTATGGTTAAGGTGGAAAATTTTTAATTATCATTTTTAAAAGTTTATTAATGAGAAGTCCAGTTAAACAATCTTAATGGTTCATGTTATGAAGATATTTAAAGTATTGTCATTGTATCCCACTATTGTGATTTTTAAGCTATTTGAATTGATATGCTCCCCAGGTGGCATCATCTGTGTCTGTGAGAATGATGGCTTCTGGTACAGGGCTATGATCATGACGCCAGAGAATGAGAATGGAGAAGCTCAGGTCAAGTTTGTTGACTATGGAGGGTATGCTGTCATGCCTGTCACAAGCCTCAAACAAATTAGGTATGATGTAGAACAATGATACCATGGTTTTTTTTCAACTACAGAAAGGAAACAAAATTAAATTCTTGTAGTTGGATACTACTTCTTTTTGTTTGACTACCATCTTCCATGATTAATGATAAAATGTTTCTGCTATTAAATATTATGTCTGGTGATATTGAAAAAATGCACAAACAGAATAGTAGGAAAATACAAACTAACTATACTGATATACTTTAATTTTGTCATATTTTGAGGAAATATGTTTTATTATGCTACAGTGTGCCCTTGCACACTTTTCCATTGTGCATCTTTCCAATCACTGATATTGTGATTAGGGATTCATAATCCCCTACCTCCCTTTTTTGTAGTACCAGTGAAATAAAATTCAAATGCCACTGATATATTGATTCTGATATTGATTTTAAAATGTATTTATTATTTATTGTATTGCTTCTTACTTCTTTTTTTCTTTCTGTAGAACTGACTTTATGTCCCTTCCATTCCAAGCTGTTGAATGCTTTATGGCAAATATTACACCAAATCAGGGTGAGTGGTATTAAATCTTATAGATTAACAATTTAGTTTCCAGGATTTTTAAAACTATTTCTAATATCTCTATACTGTTCCTTCGACATTGCCCGTCACTTTTTTATATTATTTATTGTGAATGTAAAATAATAGTCCTTGTCATTTCTCAGTATATCTGGTTAACCACTTTTGTGATTTTATAAATTTTTATTTTAGGTGAACAGTTTTTCAGTGAAGAGGCAACAATGGCTCTCGGCACCATGACATCATGTAAACTTTTGCAGTGTCAGGTTGTTGCGAGAACTGAAAATGGCATTCCCTACATCCACTTGTATGAAATCAACCCTGAAACTAACAGCGTAAGCATATTTTAATCTTTCCTTCATCAATCTGTCCTTACTTGAGACTGCTATAGTTTTATTTTGTTAGATTTTATCAAGGGGTGGGGGCTTGTTTGTAACCTAGTATCACTAATAATGAAGCACAGTTTTAATGAGTAATTTTTTAAATTTGACTTAAGGGGTGCAGCTAGTTTAACCCTTGACAGTTGCCTGATAGTAAAATAAAAAAAAAAATTACTAGCAATTTATTTAGTGATATTAGATCTGATTTAAATGCCTTTGCATTTATATCTGCATATTTATAACAGTTATATTGAAAAAGAAAATAGTTTTTTAGCATCTAAAAAATGTTTTTATAGAAATATGATTAGAAGTAGCATTTTGTTTACATTTTTCTGGGATTAATGTAATATTTTTTTTATTATTAGTAAACTATTATATTTTACCTTATACATAATAAACTCAGAACAGCTGTGTTTATACTGCTTTTTTTTTTTTTTAAATGTTGAAAAAATGTTGAAAAATGTTGTCTTTTTGCCTGGACGTAAGTCAAGTAAGTAAGGGGTTAAATGTGATGTCACTATGCTGTTCATTTTACAAATGAAGCATCTTTAAGAAATAACTAAATATGAGCAAGTAGAGGTTTTTGTCTTTTTTAATAAAGAGTTTAAAGCTCTGAGAAAGCACTTTAATATTATATTATGTATGTACAGATTTTAAAGCAATTTGTATTTTACGATTAAAAACCTACCATGCTTTTTTTCAGGCGGTGATGATAAATAGGGCACTTGTAAACAGCAGGCTTGTCAGATGGATAGAGATTCTTTAGTTGTGGCTTCACTGGTGTGACAGAGTGTATGAATGGAAGAAGATTTTTGCATATAGTTTTAGTTTGTGTGGATTTCCTTGTGTACTCATTAATAACCCACTGTGCCTCAAATCCATAGAATTTTTTTGCATAATATTAACTATTGGGATGGGGAGTAAGTGATTCTACTAAAATGCAATAAGTGTTTTCAAAATTTGCAGTTTATGGTAGTTGAGAATATTTTTGAAGCAGTTATTTGCAACCAGAAGTCTTGTATACTCAGTTGGCACAGGGGGTATTTAGCCAATGGCATTAAGCTTTTATTCAAATAGTATCTTGCCATAAATGTGGTTGTAACAATAATATTGTGTACAATTCCTCCATTATCTTGTGTTGTGAGTGTGGACTTTTATCCTTACCCTTAGTGTTTAGCACAGGAAAAACACCTTTTAAAATTATTATTTTTACACATATTCAGCCAAATTAAGCTTTTAATAAAATGTAACTATATATCTAATAATTTTTTTTTTCTTACTGTCCAAAGCAGTTGAACCTAGATCTTGAAAAAACCAATTTATATTAAAACTTAAAAACATTAGCTTGAAAGTTCTTTGGGCAATGTTTGTAACATTACAAAGGATTATAGGATTAGATGCTAAATGCTTCTATGAAGGCTCCATTTTGTTAAGCCTTTTTAGTATTACAACACAAGGATTTTAATTGACCTCAAACGTTAAAATATCACAAAAATTGGTTCTAGAAATATCTTGAGTGCTTAGAATTTTGTTACATTTTATTACATCACTTTTGTTTTTTGCTTTCCTACTTGCTTAGTTTAATTATAAACTGATTCAAAAATATTAATTGCATTCATTTTTAGATATTTTACTAAGTGTATAAGGCTTTAGTATATTATTTTTGTGCATTGATTAATTTGACTGCTTGAGCAGTAAGTTAAGTATTAAATGAAAGTGTTGTAATTTTTGAAAAAAATTGTCTCTTCCATTTGCGAAACACAAATTTTCCGCTGTCCATTTTACAACTGAACATTGATTTTATTTTGATGTTGGCCTGTATCAAAGCTGTGTAGAATTTTTTTTTTACACTTTGTGTCTTGAACAAACGTTGCAGCAGACTTATTTTTATTTTTATAATCATTCCTTATAAACAATCAAAACTAAATGTGAATGTACATACATTTTTTAAAAAGAAAATCTAACTGATGAAAACATGACAAATTTTGGCACACATTTTGATACCTCAGTTTCTTTTATAAACCAATCAGTAAACTAATAATTGGCTGACTTTAGTGAGAAAACTTAAGTCTTTTTCTAATTCTTTAAATCAAACTTCCTGTAAGGAAACCATTTAAAAGTTTAAAACATCTTATTTTTTAAATTTGTCAACAAAAATGAACTTTTTAAAAATCACTCAATGACTACAATGTAAATGTTTCTGGTTTAAATTATCTGCTGATTTGACAAAGATAAGAGTAATTTTAAAAGATGGAATTGATGTGTATTTCCCTCTCAAATTTCATATATAAATACAGTGCCACTAGTAATGAAACGCATTTCATATCTTTGCTTAATCAGAATCCTTGCATTATTTGTTTTGTCCTCTGCATATCATTTATTTATTTTCTTGTAGTTAAAAAGATTTTATTTTAAACAACACTCAAGATGAATACATTTTTCATGTGATAAAAATGTATTAGTATAACCATGTATTTTTTTTTAAAGAAAATTCCATGTGTTCCAAAACTGACATTTTAAACAAGACGGTCAAATTTAACTCTATGTAAACTTACAGAATACACCCCCATCTTCCTTGCTTACTTTTTGCTAAACTTATAAAAACAAGCCAATCAAATACTGTTAAGAAATAGCCTTGATTTAAGAATGTAGCTTTTTTAAAAATAAATATTACATTATACAAATGTACGTGGTCGACATAATTTTAACAGTTTTAACACTTAGCTGAGGATAAGCTATTCCCCACTATTACTTACTTTTCTGAACTACATACATCTTGAGTAAGTTACTGATTTAAAAACTATTTTTCCTGTATTATAGTTGGTTACATGAAAAAAAATTTCCTATGTTGTAGAAGTTTGCAAGTTTCTGTGTAATGTTATCTCAATGTTATTTTGCTTTCCTTTAGAGTTTGTGCGTATAATTAAATTATTTTAATCCACTTTTGATAGTTAGCCCCTTAAGGAAGAGATGGCTAACATCATTGTTTAATAGTTTGATATATCAGGGTCTTTTGAGTTGTGTTCAGTTTTGAAGTTGTCATTTATATTTGTTGAGCTGTATATATAAAATAAACTTTTTTAAAAATTAGTTTGATTCTTTAATTTAGTGTTTGCCTTCTGACTCATAGTTGTAAGTTTAATTAGTTTGAAGTAGCCAGTATTATTGCATGACATCCTAGTTTTACTATACATCCTAGTTTTACTATTAGAAACTGTTTAAAATACTATTTACTGTGTATTTTTGTTTTCCAACACACCTATCAGTAGGTGTTTAACGAACTTGTTTGAGATCATGCTTATTTATAATCTGTCTGAATCAAATATTATTATTCATACTTCTCAGAATTGCAGTAGACCTACTTTTCATTGAGGCAGTTGGTTTTAATTACTAATGCAAAATTACTTTATTACATATCACAAAAAGTGATTATGTATATATTGAAAAATTGTTTTTAAGTAAACATTAGTTTTGTGAGCAATGATTTTTTTTTTTAAATTTGTAATTGATATGCATATTGTAAAAAATACCTTTTTAAAACGGTGAGCTAAGAATAAAAGCAAAATGACCAAGTATTGAAAATGTAAATTGGTTTATATATAAAATATTGGTATAATGACCTTTACACCTTCATTTTTAGATAAAGTTATGCATTTTGAAAATGACACAAAAGCATTTTTTTTAACATGTTGGACCGTTGTTTTAGACAAATAATTTGACCTTGTAAATATTCATGTATAAAGAATTAGGCCAGACTTGTTTTAAACATTTTATTAAAATTCCTAAATGCAGCATTTTAAAAAGAAATACGATTGTCAAGTCACTACTGACAATTCAGTGATCGCAAAAAACTAAAAAAATAAAATTGTGATGTATTTTTAAAAAAATTAAATGAATAGAAAAGGTTGTTACAAGTGATTGCAAAGAGAGTTGGTTGATCTGAATACTGAGAGTCTTCAGTTAATTATTACAAAGTTAAATATTGTGTAGCAGGTACTGCATTATTTTGTGCTTGTATATTTATCTTGTTAGGATGTCATTTGTAAATAGTTTAAGCCTAATTATTCTAAAACAATCTTTCCCCTGATTTTTGAATTTTTTTGTGTGCTTCTCCATTAAAGCATTTAATTTTAAGCTTTTTTGTTCAACTTAATCTTGTTTTGTGTTGGTAAATAATGTTTACTGTTGTTTTATTTCTGCATTACAAAATGTTATCATAGCCAGAAAACCAAAATCAGACAGACTCTAACTTTTATACCACTTAAAAATTGTAGTTCAAGAAGCCTGAAAGAAACTGCTAGAAGCAACAAAACATGTCTGCCTGATAAGTATAGACAGACTACTTTTAATATAGAACTGAACTTTGTTACCAAACAAGCATTTTGCCAATGCCACCTTGTGAAATGTGGGTGTATAGTTCTATTGTCATGGGTGGACGAAATGGAATTTATATAGAAAATATATAATTTTACCAGTGTACACCCCCCTTGGAGTCTGTGCTCCCCCCCCCCCCCCAAAAAAAATATCAAGTGGGCCCTCCCACCCCCCTGGAGAAAAAAGTATGATGGAAACACTAGTCAGGACATCTGTCCATCTCTATTGAAGTTGAAGTCAGTTCTCTGGACCAAGATCATTTGATGGAGACGATGGAGAGGGGGAGATACAAATATTTAAAAAGCGTGACACCCACAGCCCTTATGAAGTTGGATGACCTGGGCATTTATACCTGGAATCTTCATTGTCTTAGAATTATATTATTGCGCTATTAATAGTACGCTACGTTAAGAGCTAGATATTATTTGTATAGAGCCTAAATTAGATAGATCTAGAATCTAGATCTAAATTATAAATGACAGAATCAGTTTTTGAAAGCGGCAAATATTAATATACCAAACTGCAGATGATATGGTAATGATAATGAATAATAGTCAAACAGTAAAATTGACAAAACGGCAATAGACATTGCCATTATGCTACTAATGTAAATGTAGGCCTACATGTTTTGTGTAATTTATATTTTTCTCCAGCATCAGTCCACCCTGTCTTGGAAACGCAATAAAATAAACGTATTATAATTATTGCAACCAAATAAAACAATGACGTATTTTTGGACTAAATGAATTATTGCCGGTTTTTTACGGACAGTTGGTTTTTTATAGGGTTTTTCCGTTCTTAAAATACACTTGCTTGCTTGTTGCTATTCTTGTTCTTTATCTCTATTTTTTATTTATTAATATTATATTATTAGTAATCTACACAAGAACTGTATTAAATGTGCCCTCAACTCGTTCATATGTTATGAAGTTTGTTTAATCTAAATTGGATGTTAATATTTTTTGCTTAAGTGAGTTTAGCAAAAGTGAAGCTTGACACTACTTCAGTCCATAGGCCGCAGATGAAGTAGAGTTCACTTGCTTCAGGCGCCTTCCCATTAATTCAACATATTTAAAATATTTATTTATTATTCACACTACAGTCACTACAGCATGTATCAGTTAGAATCATTAATTAACTTGAGTCAAGTACCCATCACCCTTAATGACACTTTATATCTCCTTAATATGTATGTATTGTTAAGAACAGTTAAGGCAAAAGGTATCACACATGCCACACACACATATATTCACATTGTCATAAATATATATAATACTAGAGCTATATATTATATACAGTATTATATTATATAGGCATATATATATATATATATATATACATATATATATATACCAGTGGCGTAGCGAGGTCGGGTGTCACCCGGTGCGGCACTTAATGGTGTCACCCCCCCAGAGGCATAGAGAACCTTCCCAGGGACAAACTTTCAAATTTTCGATTTGCACCCCCCTCCAAACTTTCGATTTGCACACCCCCCCCCCCCTCAAGTTTTCCATTTGCACCCCTCTCAAACTTTCGATTTGCACCACACCCCCCTCGAGTTTTTCTCTATATATTTTGCTATTTTTTGCCTTGGTGTCACCCCCCCTAAATGGTGTCACCCAGTGCGGTCCGCACCCCCCGCCCCCCCTCGCTACGCCCCTGATATATACATATATATATACATATATATATATATATATGGGCCTATATATATATATATATATATATATATATATATATATATATATATATATAGGCCTATATATATATATATATATATATATATATATATATATATATATATATATATATATATATATATATATATTGTATATAGTCTATCTTAAGAGTTTAACGAGTTAGTAAATTAAACACATACACACATATTTGATATAGTCTATGTAGCTCCTCTTAATTAATAACTAATAACCCTATCCAGATACCCAAATTTCATGGATTTTTCTATTTTTAGGTTTAAATGTGTTAAAATACATTAGAAAAATGGCAGATGGACCATCACCAAACAAAAAATTGAAAGTAGACGATTCATCACCACTGCCAGTTTGCCCTTACGGAGCAAGGTGTTATCGCAAAAATCCACAACATCATAAAGAGTTTTCACATCCAGCCGCCTCAAGCAGTGTTACAGATGTGCCACCACCCGCCCCTGCTCTGTCTGTACCACCAGATGCCAGTTTACTTCCACCCTGCAAGTATGGGGCAAGCTGCTACAGAAAAAATCTACTGCACTTTGCTGAATTTTCTCACCCGACATCAGGCCCGGTCAATGACGAGGATGGAGGTGATACAGATGTCTATAGTTCAGAAGAAGATGATAAAGTAAGGAAAAATAAAATTATTAATTTTTTTTCCATTTACAGTCATCTGTCTCACTTTCCTGTTCATTTATCATTGCTTCAATAAATCACGAATTTTTCAAAAGTAAGGCGTCAGCGTGGTCGAGTCAGTAAAGCTCATGGTTGCTAAACCGAAAAGTCTCGAGTTCGAACCCTTGGGCAGATGAGGCTTGTTAGCAGGGGACAGCCACTCTTCTAGGAGAGAAAACTCTAAAATCAAACAAATGCTGCCTTGTAGTTTGTTCTTGGTTGGACAAAGGCTATGGAAGCAAATCCAAAAAGAAAAGCAGGCTCAAATCGTAGTCAATGTGGTGCATAACCAGTTGACACATATATTTAATTGTGTTGGAGGGGATCCCTTCCAACACTAAAATTAAGAATGAAGAAGAAGAGTTCAAAAGCATTAATAAAAAACTCAAAACTGATAAAATATGGCATTTCATCAATGTTTATAAAAATCAAGCGAAGGGAAGCTAACATAGCACTTCATAACAAAAGCCCAAACCATCACACGGAATGTGTGATATAATTTATGGAAAATCTATTACGTCAATACAAAGTTTATTTTAATTTAGGTATAAACTGTTTTCAGAACAATAAACCTGTTCAAAAAGATGATATACTGAGTCGGGGGATGTCCCTAGTGAAAAAGTTTTCCCAAATGACTGACGAAGAACGCAAAGAGCTAATCAAGAAAGCATTTGAAGAAAAGTTGCGGTTACAGAAAGAGCTTGAGAATGCCAAAAAAGTTGTAGCAGAGAAGGACAAGGAGCTGGAGCATCTACAGAAGCAGGTAGTAGAAGACATAACTGCAACATATACAAATTTAACAAACATTAAAGAATTATTTACAGATTATCTTTTTACCATTCATTTTTTTCCTTGTTGGTGCCCAAGACACAAGGGGCAGATAAGACAGAGTTCATCTGTTTCAATGACCTTGGTATACAAAGGGATAGTGTGGTCAGCATTACATGCAGCTGTCTTTGTTTCCCTAAGAGGTACTCATTAGAGCTGAGTGGACTCAGGAACATCCTCTAGACTTGAGTGGTATTCAAACTCAAGACCCTCTGGTTAGAAGTTGTAAAGCTCTTACTGCTATTAAAAATGTACATTTTTTTTTCAGTCTTATATTATCTTTTTAACATTGAGTTCTGAATTTCGTTTAGAATTATTACTACACAGTAGTTCTCATTGCTGTAGTAAAAATATTTCAAACTTGTTCATCATTGTCTTCTTATATCCAGCATGCTGCCACTTGGCTTATGCTTAGACATTGCTTGTTTTATTTTTAGTAGCTTCTCAGCAATGATTTATTTATACAATTCAGATAATTAGATTATGATGATTGGCTCACCCACACATCAAAATAATTAATGAAACATTACTTTGGATATTGTCTTATCATTTAGTACTAAACATGTACTATTTCTTGTTGTGAGTTAATGTGAAAAAAAAAACTGGATAAAATTTAATTTATTTTTTGTTATGTCAGAAGAGAAAAAACAACAAAGCAAAAAAAAAAAAAAAAAAAAAAAAAAACCTTGTTCTCTAATTGGTTTTATTTTTAGACTTTTGAGCCATAATAGAAGAAAGTGTGAACGACACTAAAAAACCAAAACCTTCAAAAAGGGACTTAAGCAGTTGTGAAAAAGACAATTTATACTGTAAAGTAACCATTTACTTATCTTCTCTTAAAGCTGAACAATGGTTTACTTATGTTGGAAGGGGAGGAGGAAGCCTTGAAGCTAACTACCACAACCTATTTTCCTCTTTGGCCAGAGAGAGCTTACAAAGAAGGATCTGCCAGCCAAATACATTTCAGACTGGCAGAGTCACAGTTCTACAGGCTGTTGACAGGGGATGCTGCTTCAGTGTATGTATAAAACTCTGTTTACTTGGTCCAGTCTTAACAGTAAAAAAAAGTAAAGATTCCTCTTTAGGCCTAACAGTCCATTGGGCAGATGAAGTGGAGTTCATATGTTCTTGACCTCGGCATATAAAGAGATAATGTGGTCAGCACTATACCCAGCCATCTTTACTTTCCCTAACATGAGTTAGGTACCCATCACAGTTGGGTGGACTCAGGGACGTTTCACAAACTTGAACCCGGATTTGAACTCAAAACTATCGGGTTAGCAGTCTAGCGCTCCACCGATAGGCCACGTTATCCCATCAGTCTTACCGTAGGGAGTGTTTTAAGTCCAGTGTTTGGTTTAATATTTGAGCCTTGTCTAGGACTTGGATTCTATCTACTAAAATACAGTGCATAACAGTTATCCTTTAGGACCTTACGATCTTTTTGGCAGATGAAGTAGAGTTTCTTTGACAACGGCATATGAAGGGAAAGTGTGGTCAGTTCTATTCCCAGTTGCCATTGCTTTCTCTAGTTATAAAGGTACCCATCAGAGCTGGGACATCTTACAGATATGGGTCAAAGATCAGAACATGAGACCTTCAGGTTAGCAGTCAAGCTCTCTACCACTGACCAAACCGCCCCTTGTAATACCATGCATAAAGATTAATAATTTTATGCTGATAGTTAAAATTAGAAAATTGTTTTAAAACACAACAAAAACAGGTAACTCTCCATTTAATTATATATAAAAAATAATTAACTGTTGCAACTCAGGGACTTGAAACAAACAAAGTGGGATAGTTTTTTGAACTCTGTAAGTCATTTAAAAATATTAATGCTATTGTCTGATCATAATTATAATTCAAATCCATTACATTTCAGCATAAGAGTAACAAAAGTTGAATATGTTGTGTCCCCCAAAGTTGTGAAAAGGTTTAGGTAAGGCTTGCTTGTTTTTACACTTTATCTCAATTATTGAATTAGGTAAACCTTTTTGTGCTGCTTACACCTAAGCTCCAATTATTGAAAACAGCTGATAAGTCAGGGCAAAGGAAGGAAGCTGGTCAAAATAAACTCTACTATACCTGTGTTATTGTGTCAAAATATTTCCTTTCCACTTACTGAAGTAGCTATTCTAGTACTTGCTGAAATAAGTTATTTATGTTGGTATTAAATTATTAAAATAAGATTGAACATACAATGCTTTTGTTGTTGTTTTAGCTGGTTCAGATCATGTGATACCTATAATTAAAAAAAAATTACTACTAGACATTTAAACGGTTGCTAAGTGATATGTAATTTCTTTTTTTTTTTTTTAGTATTTTACTTTTTATTAGGATTAGCTGAAAATGTTTTTTAGTTACAGATACATCACTTTTTAAAATAATGTTTTTAAATTATCCTGTTTTGTTGACAAGTGTGAAGAAAAATTAAAATTTAATTTAATTAAAATTATTGAAAAATTTGTCTTTGAAACATAATATTTTATTTCATTTTATCAACTGCTTTTTTTTTCAAAATAGAGAATATCAAAAAGAATTAAAAACAACAAGAGGTGAAGAATTCTCATACACAGTTCTAGGGTTTCATGGCACTGATCAGAAAAATATTAGACCTATTTGTGAAAATGGTTTCAAAGCACCAGGTTTGATTGCATTGCATTTTCTTCTACTCAACTTTTAAATTTAGGGGCAAGTTTTTTTCTTTTTTTATATTCTTTTTTTTTTTGACTCTTCATTTTCTAGTAGCTTCTTTTAAGCTTGAGGGATGGCATGGTCCAATGGTAGAGGATTCACCTGCTTACTTCAATGTCTTGAGGTCAGATCCCAGACTCGGGTGTGTAGGACTTCCTTGAGTCCACCCAGCTCTGATGGGTACCTGACTCAAGTTAGGGAAAGTAAAGGTAACCGAGCAATGTCCTAACCACACTATCCCTATATATGCCGAGTTTAGGTGAACTCTACTTCACATGCCCCATAAGGTTTGAAAGGGTATTTCACTTTTATTTTCCTTTAAAAAAATGTATGCTTAAACAGTCCAAACTATACATGCAGGTGACAAAGGCTTCAGACATAAGACAGACGCAGGCTGGTACGGTGCCGGGGTCTACTTCAGTGAGTTTACGTATTATTGTATGGGTTACATCGCAGGATGCTCAGAGCTTATGTTGTGTCAGGTTCTGCCAGGAAAGGTCAGCAGACATTATGTTTTAAAATTGGTTATATAGTTTTATACCAAATAAGTAGGTTCATTAATCATATCTGGTGATTTCAAACAAAAAGATGCAGGTTCCCCAATTTTCATATAAACGGTTGCAAAGTGATATGTAGTTTCTTTTTTAAAAATATTTTATTTTTTATTAAGATATATATATATATATATATATATATATATATATATATATATATATATATATATATATATATTTCTTCCTAAATTTTTGATAAGGGACAGCGTAGTCGAGGGGTAGGGCTCTCAACAGCTAACCTGTAAGTCCCAAGTTTGGATCACGGAATTGAGTATCTGTCAGATGTCCTTGAGTCCACTCAGCTCCAATGGGTACCTGACATGCGTTAAGAAAAGTAAAGGCTGGTAGGCATAACGCTGAGCACACTATCCCTTCGTATGATGTGGTTAAGAAACAGATAAACTCTATGTCACCTGCTCTAGGTGTTATAAGGTGCTGAAAGGAGAAATTAACTTATAAACTTTTGTAAAAAAAAACAAAAAAAAAATTCAAAAGAGACAAAAGAAATAAACAATTGTATTGTAGGTGTATGAATGCCCAAAGATCATCAATAGTGCATCTGCCCAAAAACACTTTGCACAATTGTATTGTAGGTTTATGAATGCCCAAAGATGATCACTGGTGCGTCTTTGAAGCCTGGCTATGATTCGCACATGTCACCCTGTAAAAAAGAGCTTGTTATTTTCAACACGGCAGCCATTTTGCCTTGCTACATTATTTACTTCTGTAATGCAGAGGGAGCTTTCCAGTACACCTCACCAGGGGATAGTCCAGTACGTTAAACTTTCTTATGTTGTTTGTGTTAAAGGTTCTACCTTCTTTTGTTGTATGTGTGGTGAGTCTAGTTTCTAATGTTGTATGTGTGGAGAGTCTATGTTCTTATGTTGTTTGCGTGGAGTCTAGTTTCTTATGTTGTATGTGTGGAGAGTCTAGTTTCTTGTGTTGTATGTGTGGAGAGTCTATGTTCTTATGTTGTATGTGTGGAGAGTCTATGTTCTTATGTTGTATGTGTGGAGAGTCTATGTTCTTATGTTGTATGTGTGGAGAGTCTATGTTCATATGCTGTATGTGTGGAGAGTCTAGTTTCTTATGTTGTATGTGTGGAGAGTGTAGTTTCTTATGTTGTATGTGTGGTGAGTCTAGTTTCTTATGTTGTATGTGTGGAGAGTCTAGTTTCTTATGTTGTATGTGTGGAGAGTCTAGTTTCTTATGTCGTATGTGTGGAGAGTCTAGTTTCTTATGTTGTATGTGTGGAGAGTCTAGTTTCTTATGTTGTATGTGTGGAGAGTCTAGTTTCTTATGTTGTATGTGTGGAGAGTCTAGTTTCTTATGTTGTATGTGTGGGGAGTCTAGTTTCTTATGTTGTTTGCGTGGAGAGTCTAGTTTCTTATGTTGTATGTATGAAGAGTCTAGTTAAACATAGCTATGTTGTATGTGTGGAGAGTCTAGTTTCTTATGTTGTATGTGTGGAGAGTGTAGTTTCTTATGTTGTATGTGTGGAGAGTGTAGTTTCTTATGTTGTATGTGTGGAGAGTCTAGTTTCTTATGTTGTATGTGTGGAGAGTCTAGTTTCTTATGTTGTATGTGTGGAGAGTTTAGTTTCTTATGTTGTATGTGTGGAGTCTAGTTTCTTATGTTGTATGTGTGGAGAGTCTAGTTTCTTATGTTGTATGTGTGGAGAGTCTAGTTTCTTATGTTGTATGTGTGGAGAGTCTAGTTTCTTATGTTGTATGTGTGGAGAGTCTAGTTTCTTATGTTGTTTGCGTGGAGAGTCTATGTTCTTATGTTGTATGTGTGGAGAGTCTAGTTTCTTATGTTGTTTGCGTGGAGAGTCTATGTTCTTATCTTGTATGTGTTCAGAGTCTAGTTTCTTATGTTGTATGTGTGGAGAGTCTAGTTTCTTATGTTGTATGTGTGGAGAGTCTAGTTTCTTATGTTGTATGTGTGGAGAGTCTAGTTTCTCATGTTGTATGTGTGGAGAGTTTAGTTTCTTATGTTGTATGTGTGGAGAGTCTAGTTTCTTATGTTGTATGTGTGGAAAGTCTAGTTTCTTATGTTGTATGTGTGGAGAGTCTAGTTTCTTATGTTGTATGTGTGGAGAGTCTAGTTTCTTATGTTGTATGTGTGGAGAGTCTAGTTTCTTATGTTGTATGTGTGGAGAGTCTAGTAAGTTAAACTTTTTTATGTTGTTTGTGTGAAGAGTCTACGTTCTTATGTTGTATGAGTGGAGACTCTAGTTAAACTTTCTTATGTTGTATGTGTAAAGAGGCTATGTTCTTATGTTGTATGTGTGGAGAGTCTAGTTTCTTATGTTGTATGTGTGGAGAGCCCAGTAAGTTAAACTTTCTTATGTTGTATGTGTAAAGAGTCTATATTCTTATGCTGTATGTGTGGAGAGTCTAGTTTCTTATGTTGTATGTATGAAGTGTCTAGTTAAACATAGTTATGTTGTATGTGTGGAGAGTCTAGTTTCTTATGTTGTATGTGTGGAGAGTCTAGTTTCTTATGTTGTATGTGTGGAGAGCCCAGTAAGTTAAACTTTCTTATGTTGTTTGTGTGAAGAGTCTATATTCTTATGCTGTATGTGTGGAGAGTCTAGTTTCTTATGTTGTATGTATGAAGTGTCTAGTTAAACATAGTTATGTTGTATGTGTGGAGAGTCTAGTTTCTTATGTTGTATGTGTGGAAAGATTAACCAACCAAATTTTTAATGATGTCATAGAACAATGACATAAATCATTGCTTAAGTTCAGTTGTGTGAAGCCAGTTTTTTTTTGATGTATGCTGTGGATGTTTTTCATCATTGTTTAACTTTTGGGAGATATCTTTTTTATGATTTTAAACCTTTGTTTTATCAGGACAAAGTCATTCAAGCATACAATGATGCTATGCTTGTACCAGTTAGCAAGTAAGTTTAAAACTTTGCACAGAAACTAAAATTGTTAAAGGATTGTAGGCCTACGTAAAAAAATGTAATACAAGTTTTGTTTTTAAACCCCCGTCCCACTTCCCATCACAGTATGCCTCAACACAACAAGCCTCCTGGCTGTACATTGTTTTAAGTTTTAACAAAAACATCTCTCCTAAATAATCTTAATTCTAATTTTTAAAAAAAAACCACAAGTATTTTATAATATAATTTTTTTAATGAAATACAAAATATGCTTGGTTACATTTTGTCATAAAAGTTAAAATTACCCACTCCTTGTTGAGTAATACCAATTATGGATAATCTTTTAATGGACTAATGATTGTTCAATTAATGCGAGAAATATCAAATTTAAAATTAATTTTTTTCTAAAAGACAATCTTTTGCACTAAATACTAGTTTTGTGTGTGAAGGAAATTTATTATTCCTTTGATATGGAACAGTTCAGTGAGTTTAATCTGAATGTAATTTATTCACTATTTTAAATAAAGTAAAAACATTTTAAATCGTTGAAATCTATCTTCTTCTCCTAGAATTTTTGGAGGCATGACGGTTATGGTGCTGGGTAAAATGGCAACCACTCAAGCCAATTTGTTTACCTTGGTTACCAAACATGGTGGGAAAAAAGGTACTTTGAGTAAGCTACCTAATGGTAAAGTGTATGTTGTGGGGCTGATTCTATAATAACATCACGGCAAGTTTGGTTTCCATAAAGGATTCCTACATTTCATAAAACATTTTTTTTTAAAGAAATCTCTCTAAATGTGGCTGAGGTTTGTTAAAAATTATTATTATAAAACAAAAATTAATCTTTAGCGAAGATGAAGTAGAGTCCATTTGTTTTGATGACTCAGTCAGATAAAAATTGAGTTGGAACAAAAAATACTGTTTTCCACTAACTTAGGTTTTTTTTTTTTTTTTTTTTTTTTTACCTTTTTTACTTTCTTGCATATATGAAGTATAGAGAAAGTATAGCAATCGTGCAAAAAAAAAAAATTGAGATTTTTGCAAATCCCCTGTTGTTTTATATAAGAATATTCAAGAAAGTTTAGGGGAGATCACTCCCCGGTTTTTTCTACTTAATTCCATGCTGTAAATACCAAACTTTTTTTTTTTTATGACAGGCTCCAAGTCAAAGTTTGACATACTGGTTACTACACCTGACCAATACACTGGAACTGATTCTCTTGTCCTGAAGGCCAAAGATCTTAAGGTGGGTTAAGGACAACTATCCCATAGCTAATCAACCTGGAACAGTGATTCTTAACCTTTTTGGAGGTACTCAACTCCACCAGTGTCATATGGGCTTTTAACAAACTCTTTTTAATTGATTATCCTCCACATTGGCAAAAATCTGTGTATTATATAGTCAGGTTTCAGCCTTGACCTTTGCCAAACCCCTGGGTTCGGTTGAACCCAGGTTAAGAATCACTGGTCTAGAACATTCTCAAACAGCTTGCAACTCTTGATAATTTTTTACATTTTTAGGTTCAAGTTTTTTAGTGAAATATGCCATCACATTCAACCCTGAACAGCTGTTAGATTTATATTTTAAACTTTACCTTTAGCAGGAAAAGTAAAGATATGTGCCTACATATTTAACTTTAAGAGTTTTTCACATTCTTATTCTATAATATAAGATTAAATTAAAAGTACATAGAATCAGAATTTCCTAAAAATAACTATTATAGTACAGAGGCTAAAAAATTTTTTTAATTCAAGGACATTTATTTTGAATGGTAATTAGACAGCATTATACATTAATTTCCAGTATGATGTATAGCTTAGCATGACCAATACCCATATTGGTCCTAGTTTTAAATAATGATTAAATGGTCATTTAGATATCCTGTCCAAGTTGACTCTACTTTGTAAAAAGTTTTATATCATTAACTGCATCCTTCATAAATTTATATTTATGTCTTCCTCAGGTCCTTATTGTTAAAGAATCATTAACTGCATTCTTCATATATGATATATTTTTATGTCTTCCTTAGGTCCCTATTGTTAAAGAGTCCTATATCTACCAGTCAATTATTAAACGTATTCTTCATAAATGTTATATTTGTATGTCTTCCTTAGGTCCCTATTGTTAAAGAGTCCTATATCTACCAGTATATCTTTAACTGTATTCTTCATCAATGTTATATTTTTATGTCTTCCTTAGGTCCCTATAGTTAAAGAGTCCTATATCTACCAGTCCATCACATTAACTCCATTCTTCATACATTTTATATTGTTATGTCTTCCTTAGGTCCCTATTGTTAAAGAGTCCTATATCTATCAGTCCATCATTTACTGTATTCTTCATACATTTTATATTTTTATGTCTTCCTTAGGTCCCTATTGTTAAAGAGTCCTATATCTATCAGTCCATCATTTACTGTATTCTTCATACATTTTATATTTTTATGTCTTCCTTAGGTCCCTATTGTTAAAGAGTCCTATATCTATCAGTCCATCATTTACTGTATTCTTCATACATTTTATATTTTTATGTCTTCCTTAGGTCCCTATTGTTAAAGAGTCCTATATCTACCAGTCCATCATTTACTGTATTCTTCATACATTTTATATTTTTATGTCTTCCTTAGGTCCCTATTGTTAAAGAGTCCTATATCTACCAGTCCATCATTTACTGTATTCTTCATACATTTTATATTTTTATGTCTTCCTTAGGTCCCTATTGTTAAAGAGTCCTATATCTACCAGTCCATCATTCAGAAGAAGAAACTTCCACCAGCAGGTTTCCAGCTTTCTGTCTAGCAGTCTGGCTGGTTTTAATGATGCTCTATCTTTCTAAACGTGAACCAGGAAGTAATTGCTGGTTTTAATGATGCTCTCCCTTTCTAAACGTGAACCAGGAAGTAATTGCTGGTTTTGAACTGAAAACCCTTCACTGCCTTAGATGTAGGTGCTGTTGAAAAGTAATGCTTTAAGTAATAAATAGTTGTAATATAATGAAGAAAAATTACTGTATAAGAACAAGACCTTACTTTTCTGTCTTGAAATATGGAAAGGCTTGTTTTCTGTCCTTTACACAGGTCTAGCTTTAATATACAGTGCCTACCTCAAAAAGATAGTCCACTAATTTCATGCAACATTACACATTCACCCTGGTCCCACTAGTAGTCTATACAGCAGTTCACAAAAACAATAGCAGGATCATACACTAAAACACTGATAGTTCAGAAAAACAATAGCAGGATCATACACTAAAACACTGATACAAACAGGCTTTGTTTTGTCAGGTATTGCCCGAGGTTTTGCATGCTCTCTGTCTGTACATGAATTTCACAATGTTGTGACATGGGCAGTGAGTAAAGTACCCTCTCAGTGATCCATAGCAGTTTTCCCTCTCAGCTGCGCACTAGTTAAGAACTGCCACTCAGTTATTTTGTAAAATTTATACATCCTTGTATAGAACTTTTAGAACACGGCACACACAAAATACATAAACACATGATGCACATTATCTTTTTCCCTATAAGTCAGATATAGTAGAGAGTATCTGTTTTCTCTGTTTAAGAAGATATAGTGTGGTCAGCATTACAACAGGTTTTCTTTTAACATAAGTCTGATGGCCATCTGAGTTAGTTGGACATTGTATGGATTCAATTCTTGTAAACTAGAAAATTAGGGGTGGGTAGTATGCTCTTGACAACACTATCAAACATGATGGGTAACATCAAGTGATATCCCATTGTCATGTCATCTGTGCATCATTGTACCAAATATCTTTAAGTCAGTTCACGCTTGCACCATTGTAGGAAATATCCCATTGTCAGTTCATCATTGTATGAGATATCCCCTTGTCAGTTCATCATTGTAGGAGATATCCCATTGTCAGTTCATCATTTTAGGAGATATCCCATTGTCAGTTCATCATTGTATGAGATATCCCATTGTCAGTTCATCATTGTAGGAGATATCCCATTGTCAGTTCATCATTGTATGAGATATCCCATTGTCAGTTCATCATTGTATGAGATATCCCATTGTCAGTTCATCATTGTATGAGATATCCCATTGTCAGTTCATCATTTTAGGAGATATCCCATTGTCAGTTCATCATTTTAGGAGATATCCCATTGTCAGTTCATCATTGTATGAGATATCCGATTGTCAGTTCATCATTGAATCAAATATCCCATTGTCAGTTCATGCTTGCATTACTAAAAGTCTATTGTTGCAAGAATACATTCCTTTTGTTATAAATATTATAATAATTCATTGTTATATTTTACACGCAAATACAGTTAGGTGTGAAATAATTTTTAATTATATTAATTATATTTTATTTAATGTGCTTAGTACAGAAAATTATACTGTGTTATAGTTTCTAATATGCAATATAAAAAATGTGATACACCCAGTTTACTTACTTTGCTTTTTTTAAATTTTGTTTTTTTTTACAGTGCCAGAATTTTTACATTATTTATTTTAAAATATAAAATGTTTTTAATAAAGAGTAAAATACAGAAGATTAAAAAAATACCACTTCTTAAAACTGTTTTTTTTTTTAGCCTTAGCTGTTAGTTCTGTTTGTGAAATGTTAGGTGTTTTTCTTATTCATTACAACATAATCTAGGAAATAGAAAATTTACTATGTAAGCCTATATAGATTTACCCTGCGAGAGGGGAGTAAGGGTGTCACCAAGACAAAAATAGCAACAACATAAAAAATGCTTTTTGTTTGTTTAGCTAATGATTAATTAGAGTTAAATAGTTAAATAAGTCTTTTATGTACAAATTAACACTCCAGACAATGGGGGGATGGGGTGGGGTTCACACTATCACGCAAACCTGCTAACTATAGAAAAAACAATGCTACATACAGCCGTATTAACAACCAACTGTAGATAAATGTCTATTACCTGTGCACACTTTAAAGCTATCACCCGGTGAGAGGAGGGTGACACCAACTGCAAAATTTACATAAAAAAAAATCTAGTTGAATATTTTCAACAACTAATTAGTAAATGAATGACCAGGTGGGGGTGACACCTTAGTACTATGAAAACGTTGCTTTTTTTCACTTGAATTAATAGGTGGATTAAAATAATGTGTGCATGTAGGCATTATATATCTCTAATATATAAAGCTCAGTTCTGTATGTAACGCATATGTTTGTCGTTGGTGTTCGATGGATTTAAATGTTAGATAATTAAAGTCCTTACGGTCTACATTTATGAGTTTAAAAATTAATATTGAAAGTTTTGGGAAATAATTTTCATTTATCAAACTGAAAGTAATAATTTTCGGCATGTTTATTAAACACAAATTTAAAAAAAATATCATCTTTTACAACAATTCTAATTATGTCTTTATTTAGTCCTATAGCACTTACTTCCCTTTGATAAATTAGGAAAACACAATTACTTCCCTTTATAAAACCATTGCATTTGCGGAAACAAATTTACTTTTTAATTACTTTATTTTGGTGTTGGGAAAAAAAATAATTACATAATTAGCGGGGATTGATCAAGTGCAAATGTTGTAGGTATTTTACGGATAAGCTGGGATTATTAAAATTGTTCATTAAATTGAAACAGGCGCGTTCGTTTAAGTGAGTGCAAAAGACTATGAATAAGTTGGGGTACTACAGTCGTTCATTAAGCTAAAACAGGTGATTCCGCCCCGGGCGTTTATGTTCGCGTTAGTGGTTTCTTTGTGTTTAGGTGGGTTTGCGTTAGTAGTTGCGTTTTGATTTGGTTCGTTTTTGTTCTTTCTTTTTTCGTTTTTGTTTGTGTTTTTTTTTTGTTTGGGTTTGTATTTGTGTTTTTGGTTGGTTTTGCGTTTGGATTTGGTTTGTTTTCGTTTGCTTTTTCGTTGTTTTTTTTTTGTTGGTATTGGTGTTTGTGGTTGGGTTTGTTGTTAGGTTTTTGTTTTCGTTTGCTTTTTTGTTTGTTTTTTCTTTGTGTTTGTATTGGTGTTTGTGGTTGTGGTTGGATTTGTTGTTAGGTTTTTGTTTTCTTTTGTATTTGTAATTGTGTTAGCGTTATGTTTGCGTTTTGTTGTTTTGGTTGGTTGTGGTTTGGGTGGGCAATGCCGGGTTTATGATGATTACTAAACACACAGGTAATGGTCTTTAACAGAAAGGTTTTTCACAGAAGCCAGAGCAGGGCCTGGCCGGGACGGCTAGTATATATATATATATATATATATATATATATATATATATATATATATATATATATATATACATTGTCTATACATTTTTCTTTTGATAGTGGGGGGGGATTACACCATGTGTTGCAGCACCGGGTCACCGGCAGTGTTTCTTACAGACTTTTCCTGGGGGGGGGGGGGGGGGGGGGTGTAGGGGCACTTGGAATTTTCGGGGGGAGGACAAAAATTTTGGTGGGACGGTGGGCTGACACTGTTAAAAGTATATATTTTCTATAAGAATTTCATTTCGTTCGTGGGGGGGGGGGGGGGGGGGGGTAAAGAGATGCTTGGAGGAAACTCTGGTCACCGGGTGACACCCGACCTAGCAACGCCACTGATTATAATGCCCCCCCCCCCCCTATGATATGACGCCCTATTTTTAATCCAAGCCTGTAATCTTTCATCAATTCGCGTGCAACATTCCTCGGGACCAAATTTGAAAAAAAAAAATGTGTGAGGGCGGACTGTGACGTTTCCACTTAACATTTCCCCCTCACCGTCTCGACGTCGTGTGTGCTGTCTGAAGGTGAAGGATTGTTTCATCCGTTCCTCTTGCATCACCGGCAGACATTTTGGAGAGGAAAAAAAATTGTTTCGCAAACTTAACAGCGGAAGTGTTGTGTTTTCTAATTGCACTGTAAACAAAAGCACCTGCTGAAATCAAATGCTGCGCAGACGATTTTTTTTTTCTTCTTCTCTTTCTTTCTGTGCTGTGGAATAAAAAAATTGGTTTAAGGCCGTATTAAAGTTTGACAATCGCCGGAGGAAACCATATTTTACAATTTAAAATTTTGACACCTAATTAAGGACAGTCCGTTTGACATTTAAGAAGACGTTGACCTATTTTTAACCTCTCCTTCCCCCTTCCTTTTATTTTTATGCTTACAGGTCAAATGAAAAGACAAATTAAATTATCCATTTATAATGAATGGTTGACACATTTTATATGCCCTTTGGGCACCGGTCAGAATTAATGGGGATTTTAATTAACGACAATAATATAGTGAACACGACAGCATTAGAAAAAGATATAATTTTACAATATTTTTTCCGGGGGAGGGGGGGGGTAGGCTTCTCTCGGGGAGGGGGGGGGGGCTCCGTCCCCCACCGAAGAGATGCCTGATCGGGATTGGTGGATACCAGTGTTTCTTCCAGACTTTTTTCTCCGGGGGGGCACTTGAAATCTTCGGGGGGGGGGGGGCGGTAAACTTTCTTCGGGGGGGGGGGGGGGGCGGACACTGTTAAAAGTATATATTTTCTATATAAATTATATAAATTTCATTTCGTTCGGGGGGCGGTAAAAAATTTTCGGGGGGGGGGGGGGGGCTTCGCCACCCCGAAGAGATGCCTGGAAGAAACTCTGGGGATACACAGTCACAATCTCCAACTGGTTTTCGGTGAACTTGACTTAAATAAGGATTGACTGAAAACAGAATTTGTGTATATACTATATGGGGCGGACTAGATCAAAGAATCTCTACCCCCCCCCCCCCCTGAAGTCAGACTTTATACATGAGCCCGCTCAGTCGACTCGTGAATCTGCCTCACCATACAAAAATAGGCTTTCTACATTATGACAAGCTACAGGCATGTAGGTACCTGTAGGGAGGTTGGGGGTGGGGGGGGGGGTGGGAGAGGGGCAAATTGTCCCCTCACCGTCCCCGGATTACGTCAACTGCTCCACTCTCTATCGAGGACGAAATAGAAAAAAATTATAATTCATAGAGAAAATATACACTTTAACCAGTACCAACCTCCCCCCACCCCCCCTACAGTGCCCCACCGAGGAAAATGTTTAAAAGAAACCCCTACATTTATTGTAATCAGAGGCATAGCGAGGGGCGGGGGGGGGGGGGGTGCGGACCGCACCGGGTGACACCCTTTAGGGGGGTGACACCAAGGCAAAAAATTGCAAAATATGATAATTCCACTAAATTAAGTGATTATTTCGAGTGTTAAATAGTCTTTTAAGAGATACAAATCGAAAGTTGGGGTGGTGGGGGGGGGGGGGGGGTGCAAATTGAAAGTTTGAGGGGGGGGGAGGTGCAAATTGAAAATTGTCCCCGGGAAGGGTCGCTACGCCTCTGGTTGGTGACACCATTAAGTGCCGCACCGGGTGACACCCGACCTCGCTACGCCACTGATTGTAACCCACTACATTTCCATCTACCAGCCTTACATTTTACTGTAATCACCAGATTTTTATCCCATTCCCTTATACCCCCACAATAGCTTTACATTCCATATAATTTTATCGTGCGATATATTCCATTTTTCGCCGTTGGTAAAAGCAAGAAAAATAGTCCGAACCATGAGTTATCTCCCCAGCCGCTGTAGTTCTATAAACTTATTGACTGTTCTATAACATTATTGACTTAACTTCATACATAATCCCATAAGGGATCGTCAATTCAGAACTTCTTCTTAACAAAATAACAAATTCAACAATTTTGCACCTCCCCCAATCCCATAATTTCATACTCTCATCTTCTTTTTGCCACTTATTGTCTGGACATGGGTGGTAAGTACCCCCCCCCCCCTCCCCATGGGCCGTAGAGCCATGGTATTGTATGGATTAGGGAGAGAGGTGGATAGAACTTGGTGGCAGCGTTTCATGAGGAGTCAGGCTTTTTATGACGATGTGACCCCAGGGGGTGGGGATAAAGATCGTCTAACATACCATGACGTCATTCACAAACGATATTTGACTTCATATTATTATTAAGCAATTTTAAGTATACCTTTTTTTTTCTTTTTTTTTAAGGCAACGCCTATTATTTTAATATAATCTTTTTCAGAAAAAAAAACGAGGAAACGCTGCAATTCTAATTAAATTGTTGAAAAACAATAGCAGTTTGTTTTGTTAAAATGATTTGTAAATTTTGTAGTTATAGTTATAGCCTACACGAACTTTTGGAACGATCGCATAACACACCATCACAGCTAACATTGTAACATTGTGTGTGTGGGGGGGGGGGGGGATAGATCTACACGTTTTGCTATGGGATCTCTAAACGATCATATAACACATCGCAGCTAACATTTGGGGGGGGGGGGGATCTGAATGAGTAGCTACCAACACCATCCAATATCACATACATGTTTTTGCTATGGGATCTCTGGACGAGAACTGACAAGCCAATCGTTTTGAATTATGTAGCCCACGTGGTTTTTCACGGCCATAGTTATTATTCATCATCAACATCGTCATAATCATCAACATCATCAAC